TGAGCAGATGCTCCCACCATGCTCTTGTGGACTTTTCAGCCTTCACAGCTATGAAGAAAAAAAGGCCGACTTACAAATTACCCAGTCTTGGGTATTTTGTTATATAGCAACAGAAAACACACTGAGTCCATCAAAGGTGGCACAGCTACCTGTGGATGACTCTGCCAACAAAAAGGTTCCCTTATACCAGGCCTACATTGTCCCCTCAAAACAAGTCTCACTCCACCCTATGTGGCAGCATTCCACATATAGGGCAATGGTGGTTAACCTTGACTGTCAACTTAACCAGCCTAAGAAGTGCCTGGGGAACTGTAGAGTGCATCCGTTTTTGGAGGTAACTGGATCATGAGGGCTTTGACCTAATGGATGGTTTGACCCACTAGCGGATAGTGGCAGAACTGTGGAAGGTGGAGTCTGGTCGAAGGAAGTAGGTCACTGGGGATGTATCACTGGAAGTTATGCCTTGACCTGGCCCTTTGCTACAGCTCTGCTCTGCTTCCTGTCTTCCACAAGGGAAAGAAACTCCTCTACCAGAATGCTTTGCTCAAGTTCATGCAGCTAAGACGCCAGAGGCTAAATCCTCCAAGGCCGGTAGCCAGAATAAATCCTTCCTCTTTAACTTACTTCTGTAAGGTAGTTTTTCATAAGGTAATTCAAATACATTGCCTTTGGACTGTTTTTAGCTGATAAACTCCCCTACATGCAGAAGATGGCCCCATCTTTCTCCTGTTGCACCCATGACATGAGTGCCTTAAGGACAAGACATGTAAGCTGTGGGTGGGTGGAATGTAAGAAGTGGGAGACGTGGGTAGGGAGTAGGAAACAGTGAGAATGCAGACGGCTGGGCCATTCTCTATGTCCACACTTCTTGGTTGGCCACGGTAGGCTGCGCCATTCCAGACCTAATCCTGCGTGTCTGTGGCTGTTCAGGATCTATCAGTACATGGATTGTCTGTGGCTGTTCAGGATCCATCAGTACATGGATGACACATGATATCACACAAGCTCTTCAGTTGTGTATGATCTGGGCTCAGCATCAGAAAAGCCACTGCCAGCCACCTGCAAAGTCCCTCCCCACCACAGGTACTTTGTATGACTGTCACACTGCTCCCATCCCCCTTCTTCCCAATGCCTCTCATGCTCTGACACCTTCCAAGGAGAGAAGACTAGAGAAGACTCTGGTCTCCACTCACTCCCCAACGCCCATGGTTTTGGGGACTGGCAAGAGGGAGGCTGTTATCAAGTCAATCCTGCTGAATCTGGTTGCCATGAGGCAGATTGGAGAGTGACCTACCTAGCCCAGAATGGATTTGTTGTAGATAGATGCAGTAGGGCTACACTGGATCCCTGCCCAGTCCCAGGTAGCAGGAGCCTAAGTGGCAAGATCTGTGAGGCTAGAGAGGCAGCCAGGGAATTAGGCACAGACCTCAGGCTGGAGAAACACCTACTGACTTCTGCTGTCAACTACGGGAAGCTGTGCAAGGCACAGAACCTCCAGGTTCCTGAGGTCCCTGCAAAGGCAATGATGACGACTCCTAGCATTCGCTGGGTCCTTACGATGTGCTGAGTGCTGTTCTGAGGGCTCCTTTACTCCGGGCAGCCGCTTTCCAGGACAGGTACAGCTATGAAGCCTATTCTCACATGAAAAAGAGGGGGAAATGGGAAGCAACGACACATACTCCCTTATTTTTTCTCGTTCTCTGTGTGTTTGTGGGGGGGGGGGTGCATTTCATGGTGTGTGTACGGAGGTCAGAGGACAGTTTGTAACGTCAGTTCTCAGTCCACCTTTACACGGGTTCCAGAGATTGAACTCAGGTCGCCAGTCTGTACAGCAAGCACTTCCACTCTCTGAGCTATATTGCCAGCCCTGCCTCTAAACTCTAACTTCCTACTCCTGAGAGAAGACGTAGCTGTCCTCAGTGGAAACACTCAAAAGTACTCCCAGTGTCCTCCACTATGTCAGAGAACAAGAGCCACGAAGCAGGCTGACCACTCCCACAGTGTCACCTGAACGGGGCTAAAGAATTGGGACGGCTCCAAACACAGCCTCAGGCATGCTGCCTACCCCAGCCCATTTCTTGACAGACAGAAGGTGACCTTCAGTGGAGGCGGGGCGTGGGCACGGGACAGGAATGGGGGACATCACAAGGAGGCCTATTGCCTGCAAGGAGGCCTATTGTTGAGCTGACTTTGTGACTTCAATAGTGCTGTCCCAGCTCAGGCTGGATAACCCAGATGGTTGAGTCAGGGTGTGAGAAGTGGAAGGGGGGTCAGAGTGGAGGAGGTTCAGAAACAGCCCTCTCACGCTTTGCATCGTCTCCAGGAGGAATTAGTAGTATCTGCTGTTTTCCAAGAGCGCTCCATCTGATTGGAAACGAGTGCCTGGGGAAGCAACTGGCGTGTTGGAGTGCACGGAAGTGAAATGGTCACTTCAAGAAGGAAAGTGAGGGAATCGGGCAGCTGCCCAACAAGGATAGTGGTGACCCTTTCCTCCAGGCCACCTTGTGCTCAGCCTCGTCTCCAAGCCTGTGGGCAGTGGTCCACCTGGAGCCAGTGTGGAGCCTGTTCTGTTGGGTCCACACTTGGCATCAGTATCTTCTCCCCTAGGCTCCCCTTGTTCTCACATGGGAACAACCTGAGGTAGAGGGTAGGAGAGCTTGCTGGAGGGCATTAGGAAACCTTCCGATCTGGTGTTAGGGATGACCCGTTCCCTACTAGTAAGGGTGGGAGGGGGGTGTGAGAAGTGGAAGGGGGGTCAGAGTGGAGGAGGTTCGGGAACAGCCCTCTCACGCTTGCATCGTCTCCAGAAGGAATTAGTAGTATCTGCTGTTTTCCAAGAGCACTACATGAGTGTAGCATGAATCTTAAAGAGTCTTATTAATACAACAAACCTGGAGCCAGGTATTGGGTGAACGCTGGAAGATCAGAGAAGCAGAACAAGCCACAGCTACCTTACCTTGCCAATTCCTCAGCTGGTCTTATTTCCTCAGACTGGAAGCCTCTGAGTCCTCATTTAGAATGGGTCTCAGCTGAACTGTGTTGCTCAATGCCTAAAAGCTTAACCAGCTAAAAGCTTCTAGTTTCTGGTCTTCACGCCTTATATACCTTTCTGCTTTCTGCCATCACTTCCTGGGATTAAAGGCATGTGTCACCACGCCTGGCTGTTTCCAATGTGGCCTTGAACTCAGAGATCCAGAGGGATTTCTGCCTCCGGAATGCTAGGATTAAAGGTGTGAGTGCCACCATTTTCTGGCCTCTGTATCTAGTGGCTGTTCTGTTCTTTGACCCCAGATAAGTTCATTAGGGTGCACAGTATTTTGGAGAACACAATACCACCACAACAGAGGATGTGAACAGAGTGACTGTGATGCCTTTTGAATACTGAGCTATGTGACTATAAGACCCGTTCTAAGTGTCACTTAAAGTCTCTTCCAGGAGCAAACGACTCAGCCAGGAGAGACACTTCTTGCCAAGCCTAATGACCTGACTTCAATCCCCGGGTCCCACATGATGGGAGGGAATTAACTCCCACAATTTGTCCTCTGGCTTTCACAGACATACGAAACAAATAAATGTAATTTTAAAACGTAAGTCTCCTCCCAAAGCCTCTGGGAGCTTCCCCAGGCTGTTTCCTCTCTTGTAAGCGCAAAACAACGTATGCCTACTCCTCCACATGTGTGTTGATGCAGTGTTTAGATATGGGACCTCTGGAAACGATTAGACATGAAGACAGAGTCCTTGTGAATGGTACTAGGGACTCAGAAGAGCCTGAGGGGCCACATTTCACCCTCCCACCCTGAGACCATAGCTAGAAGGCACCATATGTGAACCAGAAAGGCCCTCACCAGAAACTCATTCTGCTGGAATCTTGACCTTGGATTTCCAGTCTCCAAAGCTGAGGGGATAATGTGTTGCTGTTTGCAGTCCTAGTTTATAGTATTTGGAAGGTGTGATTGCTATTCTTGGTTGTCAACTTGACTACATCTGGAATTAAATGGAATCCAAAAGTGGAGGGCACACCTGTGAGGGCTTTTTTGCTTGTTTTGAAGTGGGTGGATCCACTTCTAATCCAGACTTTTGAGGTAGGAAGAAGACACATGCCTTTGATACAGTTCTTGAGGCAGGAGGACACACCTTTAATCTGGGCCACACCGTCTGCTGGAAGCTTTTGTTCTTTGCCTGCTTACCCTCACCTTGCTAGCACATCCATTCCTTCACTGGCATCAGGGCCTACCTACTTCTTCAGGATTCCAGCGTCTACTGAAGACCAGCTGAAACATCAGCCTCATGGACTGAACAACTTCTGGATTCTTGGACTTTCTGTTCAGTTATTGTATGATTAGCAGGATCATAGCCTATAAATCATTCTAATAAATCCCCTTTCATTCCATAAATCCTGTTTCTCTAGAGAACCCTGACTATACAGAAGGGCAAGGTGCAAGGATTGAACCTGTCACTGCACACACTCTATGCCACCGAACAGCACCCCCAACTTTTTAGTGTTTTTTACAGCAGCCCCGACTCGATCCCCTTCCACTGGTTCCAGAGGTCCATGATATGAATTCCCCAGCTAGATTCTAAAGTCTACGAGAGGAAAAGGGATAGGACAATTTGTTTTAATTTGTTTAATTTAAAGATATTTATTTAAGCCGGGCGGTGGTGGCGCACGCCTTTAATCCCAGCACTCGGGAGGCAGAGCCAGGCGGATCTCTGTGAGTTCGAGGCCAGCCTGGACTACCAAGTGAGTTCCAGGAAAGGTGCAAAGCTACACAGAGAAACCCTGTCTCGAAAAACCAAAAAAAAAAAAAAAAAAAAAAGATATTTAGAGGCAGGGTCTCACTAAGTAGCTCTGGGTGGCCTGAACCTCACTTTGTAAACCAGGCTGGTCTCAAACTCAGAGATCCGCCTACATCTGCCTCCTGAGTATTAGGATTAAATGGGCATGTCAACATGCCCGGCCAAATACTAGTCCCCATTTTTTCTTTTTTTTTTTGGGGGGGGGGCTATACCGGGCGGGGACTGATCCCAGGGCCACACGCATGCTAAACAAGTAAATAATACGGTACTACATTCCCAGTCCCCCAAATTCCCTTTTTAAACCCTAGCCCAGGAAGGTTTTACCACCCCAGCTAGAACCCACCAGTTGCAGGATTCCAGGTGTTCAGACCAAGCTGCCAGGGACTGTGCTGTAAGCCTGGAAGAAACAGGAGCTGTTGACACTGGGGCGGTTGTGGGCAACAGAATTTGACTTTCAGGAGCAGTTGGATCTAGTTCAAATCCTAGTTATTAGCTCTGTGACTTTGACCTACAGTTACTTAACCTCTCTGAACTTAAAACTTCCTCATCTCTAAACTCTCAATTTCCTAAGGTTAAGATTAGAAACAAGAGCATCAGAAAACCACAGCACACGGAAGCATTCAAGAGCTGTCAGCATGATGTCCCCCATCTCCTCCTTCCTTCCTAGGGGCGGCTAGGCCACTGGGCTAAGTTCCCTGGTTTTCAGTTGGTTTTCTATACAGCTGCATGAAGGAAGGCCGTGTAGGTTGGTTCTCTCCCTTGCTACAAACCCAAGAATGTACACAGACTGTTCACCCAGGGGAATAGGGGGAAAGGCCAATTAATGTCACCAGCTTAAGGCTAGGGCGCAGGGCACAGCTTTGTTTACACAGGAGAAGAAACTCCCAGTCTTTGGGGGAAAGAGCCCCGGGGGGGTCTCCAGCCTAGCAAGTGGGAAACAGGAAAGGGGTAGACAGTGAATGTGAGCGAGTACTCCTTGAGGACTGGCGGCAGCTGTAGGGCTGAGGGTGCTCTGGGGGAGGGGGATGGCATGCAGGACTCTACACCTTACCAAGGGCCCAAGCCTTGTTTCTATCACCCATAAAAAGGAGCGGACCACGCCTGTACCAAACTCCACACTGTTGGATGAATAAATCAGACACCCAGTCACTGTCCCCTCCCCCTTTCCCTCAGAAGGAAGGACACAAAGGCCTCCAAAGAGACCAACACGTTCACAGGACAGCCTTATAGAAAACCGACTTGCAGAGATTTAATAGATGCAAAAACACCCAGGATTGTCACCAGGGTTGGTTTTACCACACGAGCTGTTCTCAAGGCACACGGAGTGGAACAGATAACAAAATGGACTTTTCTGTGTCTGGTCGGCTGATGACTAAAAAATATCGAGAGGGTAAAAGCCAACTGGTTCTTCGTGTCTTACTCCATGGCAAAGAAATGAGCGATGAGCATGAGAGTGGGATTCTGTGGGCTGCAGGGGCAAAGGCAACCCGCGGCTTCTCAAGACAAGAAAAATGAGGGCATTTTGTTGAAACAATGAGACAGATGCCGAGAACTTGGCCCGCAGAGCCCGCTGGGGGACGTGCGGCTGTAGAGGCTGTGCCAGAAGCACCAACTGGCCGAGACAGTCCCTGCCAGTACCAGATACTAGTCAGCCCTTCCACCGAGCTCTGGGAAGGGTTGATAGTTGGACTGGGGTGGGGGTGGCCCAGGTAGAAGGCCCGATGGAAACAGGGCTCACAGGTACACGAGGAATGTAGGAAGAGAAGTATCAAGACGGAGCAGAAGCCTTGCCTGTCTTTTCCTATGGCTTTCTTTTTGGCTTCCTGGAGAGATGGGTGTGTGAGACCTGAGAGCAAGGGCGAGCTCCAGAGGGCATCCTAAGGAAGAGAAGGCTGCTCGCCCTGAGGAAAGCCCGGTGCTGGCTGAGGGAGAAGAGCAGGACATCGGGGGCCCTCTAACAACTCCAGCAGGACTCAGGCAGCTGAGCCCAAACCTGAGATAGTCAAAAGCAGACATTAAAAAAGAAAAAAGGCAAAAAGAGAGGAAGTGATGCGGCCCTTACAGGGCTGAGGTATCAGAAAGACAGCTACGAGCCCAGCACTGCCGAGTTCCAGGGCATAGCCATGCTAGGAGACTGTCCTGAACAAAGGACCACACTCTCCACCGCCATGAGAGCCCTCAGCAGGGCCCCAAAGGCCAGGAACCCAGCCTCCGAGGAGACTCCCTAGGCCTCCCAAGGCAGTTGCTTTGATTGAAGGTGGCCACGTCCCTGAAGTCCTCGGCAGCCACTTCGACGGAGAAGCTTGCAGACGTCCAAATATTCCTGCTCAGGACAGTCCTGGGCGAAGCGTTGCTTACAGTCCTGCTGGGCTTTCCACCTACCCACCCGGTGGTTCCTCCAAGTCCTGGGTGGAGCACACATGCCTGACCAGAGGGAAATAAAGTGCTGGGGCTCCTCAGGCACTTGGTGTAGAGGAGAAGGTCGCTGCCCTGGCCCCCCACGGGGCTCAATAGTGAAACACATTCAGTCTGTTGTTCTCATCTAGGCCCAGCTGCAGTAAGTTCGAGGTGGTTGTCGGTTTGGGCACCGAGGGGAAGAGCTGTCTGGCCACAAAGTGAAGGAAAACTGGATGGCTGAGCATGCCCAGGCGAGTGCTAAGGGAGGGACTAAGGCCCACCAGGACGTTCCTCAGACATCAGAGGCCTGTGGCCTGACACAGCCGGTCAGCTGCTGCAACAGCAAGGGGCAAGGGCTTGGAGACCAGCTCAAAGGATACACCTTGGGGTCATTCCTGAAATGTTCCAGCCACTTCCGGTTAGACTCAATCATGCCCTGGACGCTGACACTGTCCATGCTGGGGACTCGAGAATGGGGACGCTGCAGGAGGCGGAGCTGCTCACTGGGGGAGAGAAGGAGAGCTGAGTGTGCAGGAGAGGAGGAGAGAGCAGGCCGGAAGTGCATGGAGTGTGTGACTGAGCCAAGCACCTCCTCCCTCCTCCTCTCACTGGCCCAGCAGCATCCCTGTAAGGCCTCCAGCAATTCAAAGGTCCTCCTCTGGTGAGGCAAGCATCTGCTCCCCAAAGGGAAGGCAGGGGCTGCCCTCCACCCCCTTTCGGGGCATCTGATGCAGAATCAAGACCTTCACATCTGTCTGTCCTCAGCCAGTCTCCGCAAGAAACTTCCTTCTGTCAGCTGAGGTGCTGGCCCAGAGAGCAGACATGGCTGTGGGAGTTACAGTTAGGGCCGGGGGGTGGGGAGAAGAGACTATCTGGCAGAGAATAAGATGGATAGGAAATTAATAACAGGACTAAATAACCGCCTGTCTGTCTCCCCCATGGGGTGTCCCTCTCACTCCAGATGTTGCTCAGCAGGCACTGGAGAAGAAGGGGCCATAGCAACCAGACAAAGAGCTCAACGGCAAAGACGGGCCAGATTCCAAGGCTAGTGGGGCCGTCGGAAGAGCAGGGTCTCACCTCAGGCTCGTTTCTCCTCACAGGCCTGTGGACAGCATCTGTAGAGCCAGTCAGCCACACTCCTCCCCACACCCACTGAGCCTCAGCAGCAGGGACGTGACTGTTCACTTGCTCAGATGAAGGCAGGACGCAGGTGACTCTGGACTGGGAACCTGCCTGGGCTCCTGGGGCCACAGGACCCTGAGGTCTACTCCCACCCGTCCCCGGTGCCACCTGCCCAGGGGGGACAGTGAGGATCTTGACTGTGAGGCTCACCTTACAGACACATAGCCCAGCTTGTTCTCCAGTGGGGGAGGGCAGCCGCTGAGCAACGGGATGCCAGCTGGAACGTCAAAGAGTTCAGAGGCAGCAGTCAGTCAGCTGAGCCAGCCCCAGCCTCGGCGGGCCACTTCCATGTCCGCTACCCACACCTCCTGCAGCCCCAGAACGGACGTCCCCAGAACCAACAGTGGCAGGGAAAGTTTCTGTGCTGAGGGTGGGACAGGTGACAGACAAGAACTGTCCTGTTTACTTTGATCCTAAAAATCTCATTTTCAATTTGGGCTGAGACAGAAAACGTTTGTACATTTTTTCCTCAAATGGTTGCCTTTATGACTTGTGTTCCTCAACAAGGAATGGGCCCCAGAGCAGAAGCCAGGGCCAAGGGGTCATAGGTATAGAGTCAACACCTGGTACGTGACTCACCCACTCACAGAGCACTCTGAAGCTTATTACTAAACCTCACTGAGTCTCAACTTACTCGTCTATAAAATGGGGAAAATAACTACTACCTCAGAGAACTATAATACAGACTAAAGAGGGGTGTGTGTGTGTGTGTGTGTGTGTGTGTGTGTGTGTGTGTGTGTATGTGTGTATGTGTGATGGTGAACTGTATCAGTGACAGACATTAGGATGACACCAATGACTTTTTTAGATTCTGCCCAGCTCTCGAATTGATAATAAAAGCTCTACACAGTGCAAGCTCAGTGTAAAACATCCTAGCACAGAGCCTCTGGATGTAAGGCCACAGCCAGGTCTTCCTTCACCAGGGCCCCACTGACAGAGCCAACAGACCAAAGACGGGGAGGGAGGTAAGGGGTGAGCAAAGGAAAAAGACAGGAAGGATGGTTATGAGAGAGGGCACAGGCGCAAAGGAGACGGGAAGGCTCCACCCAGAAACCAGATGCATGTGGGCGTGGGGAATACCTACAAGGGAAATACTTGCGCCACTTCTCCAGCAGGAAATCATCCACAGTTTTCGACGAGGAGGAGAGCTTGGTGGCCTGTCCTGGGTCCCAGGCCCACTGGGTGGACGTGGATGTGACAGACGATGAGGGCGAGGGCTTGGTCAGGAGGGTGTAGGCAGGGGCAGGGGCGTTCTTGGAGGACCGAAGCGAGGAGGTGGTGAGGAGCGGAGGCGGGGGCTGGCTGCTGAGGACCTGTGGTGGTGGCTGGGAGTTGAGGCTGCCCAGCACACTCAGCACACCATTCAGCTCACTGCTGATCCGCTGAAGGGAACTGCTCAGGTAATGGATCTTGTTGGGATCCGCGGAACTTGGGGTCGAGGTGACTGAAAGAGGCAGATGGTGGCAAAGGATTCAGGATCTAGCAGGCACTTGAGTATCCTACTACTGCAGGACAAAGGATGGACGCAGGGCTTCTGGGTCCCAGACAAGGGGCCCAAGGACACAGACAAAAGGAAAAACAAGGTCCTTGACCCAACCTCAGGCCAGAGCAGCCAAGAGTGGGTGGCTACAGGAGGCCTGGAGAGAAGAGACCACCACAAGGATCCCTGGCCCTTCCGTCCCTCCACCCAGCTCTGATGATGTACCTCATCCAGACACAGGCTCAATGCAGGGCTTGGGGGAGGGCACCGGAATATGGCGCCCACATTCCTCCCTCTCCATAACACTGGGCTTCACTCCACCTCTCCCTCCCCGGCTTCCTTGTGTGCCACCACTCACTATGAGGCAGGGGGCAGGACTCAGAACTCTCACTGCTCAAGTCTTCCATGTCACTGAGATCAAAGGTCACCTTCTTGATAGAGGATCCTTTCAGAGTGTCCTCCTCAGAGACCTGACAGGTAGAAGTGGCCATTAGCACTGTTCCTCTCATGAGTTTTCACTCCACCTGCCTTGTGGTAAGTGAGGGCTGAAGCGTGATGAGGAGGTTCTTCTGGGGTCCAAGGTTCTATAGGCACCCCAGGAGAGGCATACCACAAAGTCTGCCTCAGTAGAGAGGTTGAGCTAGGAGAACCCAACTGCCTGTGAAGCAGTCCATATGGACCCCCAGGACCAGAGGATCCCCATCATCCTCCTTGCGGTCCCCCCATCTGAGTGTCCCTGCTCCCAAACTGAAACCTGGAGCATGGAGGAGATTTCACACAGTCTCGGGGAAGGAAGAGACACTCTTGACGCCACACTTAGTCACAGCTCTCCTGGAACCATGCAGGAAGAACAGGGCTAGTCCCCAATTCTGTGACATTCACAGAATCGAATGCTGTGACCAAGCAGCAGATGTTCCAAGGATGCCTTGAACCATCAGCACAGACATCAACCACTCAGACGTTTCGACACAGCCATCGCCTCTGCTATCTCAGCCAACAGCCTGAGCCCCAGAGGTCCAGTTCTCCCCAATCCAGGCCTGAAGAAATAAAGGCTCCCAGGAATAGAGGAGGGAGGGAGAGATGGGCCACACCGGGCTATGTGGCCACGGGGTGATACCTCTTCCCGTAGAGAAGATTCCAGTTGGGTCAGCTTCTCTTCTTTCTTCTTCAGCAGGTCATGGCCTTTCCGCATGGCTGACTTCATCTCATCCAGGTGCCTGTGCTCCTATGGCCAGGAGGGAAGGGGAGGAAAAATGTTTCAGCACAGGCGCTAGAGTTCCAGCTCTGGTATGTGATGGCTGGGGGGTTGTAAACACATCCCTTAACTCTCCATCCAGCTGCTCATCTGAGAGAATGGCTACTTTCCCTCAGACCCTGAGGACTAACAGGACAGTGTGTTATGGGAGGAAAACCATGCCTGGGGATGCTAAGTCCTCCAGCTGTGGACCAAATGGCTACCACCACTCTGCTAGCTATTACCATCGCCCTTGGCACCAACAAAAGGAATAAATCGAGGCAGTGAAAGTGCCCGGGGATAGAACGGACACACCCTGGGGAGCCCACCTTGTGTCTACAACGCCTCTTGCTATCTGTTGCCCACAAGCCTCAGGGCACGTGTCGCTCACCAATGCCGGCACCATCAGGATTATAAAGGTTCAGACATGATCCAGGGGAACCCGTGCTATTGAGGCCTCGACTGGTACAAAAATCTGTAACATCATGTAATGATGGCACCTCTGTCTTTTTACTGCAAATCAGACTGTCAGAGAAGCCAGCAGGGGAGCTACTCGACCTTACGCTGAGGGTACCCAAAGGTCTTCCGTCTCCAGTGTATCCGAGTGGCAGAGGAGAACACTAGATTTGAAATATTTTAGACAGTGGTTGTATCTTTCACCTAGGAACATGGCAATGGCGATACAGGTTGAATATCCCATTTCCAACCTGCCTGGCCTCAGAAATATCTGAAATTTTGTAGTTTTCAGATTTAGGGATATCTAAAAAGCATGGACTTTACTGATTGGATGGATTTGGGGGTTAGGGACCCTCAACCTGTATACCTCACTCATTAAAGATGATTACTGTGAAGATAAAACAGTTTATTATTGAAGAAGGTGTTTACACATGGTGTATGGCCATGATGAGGCAAATGCCCCCAGGGCCCAGGTGGCCCATCTCGGAGTCCCCAGCATGTTCAGCTGAGGAAAAGTTAGCACCCTCAGACTCCCCAATACAGGCTGGTAGGTCCTCCTCTTTGCTCCTAACCTCATCCAAGTTCTTGCGCACGTTTTCCAGGACCGTGGTGCCTGGGAGGTCTTCATCCATCTCCTGGGCACTAGCCAGCTCATGGCGCCAATGTTGCTGGGCGGCCTTCAGTGCCGTCTGCCGCCTCCGCATGGAGCGGGTCTGGCGCACCAGGAACTCCTTTGCACTCCGTACAGCTACACCCTCAGCAGAGAGGAAGTGCCCGACACTGTGGGGCAGCAGGGAGCGGGGAAGGAAAACCGAAGGCTACACTAAGCCACAGGGCCACTTCTTCGGCACATGTCCACCTGAGCATACACAGGAGCTACTGGACTGGGGCTGGGATACCACTGTTAGATACCTAGAGTGTGTGACACTCTGCGGACTGTCCCAGGAGCCTGTACTCAGGTAACTAGACACTCCTAGGGGGTCTGATCTTCAACTAGAGGCCAGCAGGTGCCGGCATGCTGTGCTGAAGGTCACAAATGGTAGGATATTAGCTTAGCAGAGAAGACTCTTCCATCCCTGGGTCATGCCTTGACCCAAGCCCCACTGATGGTCACTGTCACCTCAGCTCTGACATAAGCACTCATTCATGGCACACGATGGGATAGGGAAACTCACCTATCCATGGACAGGTCGATATCCTCCTTGCTCTGGGAGAGAGACAAGGACACCTCTTGGGTCTCATTCTGCAGACACATAATAGAAAAGGCCAGCTGAGTGTGGAGAAGCAAAGGGGTCCTGAAGTCCCTCCCAGTGTCCTAGCCCAAGAAACAGGTCTTCCAGTCCCCAGGTGCTCTCCATAGATAGGTGCCATCTGAGTGACCGAGAGGGTGGAGAAGGAGAATAAGGAGGCTAGATGCTAAATAAAGCAGAGCCCAGTTCCTCTCCAAATGCCCCACCTTTCCGCCTCCCACCCATAACCCCCACCCTCACTCCCAGGCCTCAGCCCCTGGCTCACTGTGCCAAGGGATTTCCTCAGGTCGTCAATGTGGAGATCTGGCTCCAAATGTGGGGACGCATTCTTCTCAGCTGCCAGCTCTTTCAACATGTCCTGCTTCCTTTGTACTTCAGCCTCCAGGCCACTGTGGTGAGGAAGAGAGCGGGAGGAGGGCTGTGAGGCCGGGACTCTCACTCTCACTCTCACAGGGCCTCAGTACTCCATTCCCTACGAAGTGCAGCAGAAACGTGCTGGCTGCTTCTGTCTGGGTTCCAAGCTGGGCCCTCTCCCTGTGGAGGTCCATGAGGAGACGGGCCCAAAAGCAGCAGAGGGCAGAGGGCAGGGGGAAGAGGTGGCCACTGGCCAGGAGCAGAGTGCCCACACTACCTCACGTGCTTCTGCAGCCTCTGACTTTGTGTCTGCAGCAGATCCACCTGGGACTCCAGCTCCACCCGCCGGACACGCAGGTCATCGATGACCCTTCGTAGCTGCCGCTTCGACTCCACCAGGTGGGCCTGCTCCTTCTTCGCTTCTTCCAGGTGCTGATGGGTGGCTGTGGCTTCCTGGGGCAGAGGAAAAGATAAGAACGCCCACAGACCCAGTGGGGAGAGGGTGAGGTGCAGGCAGCGTCAGAAGTGTGGGAGACAGAAAACAACAAGACGGGTTGAAAGCGAGAGCCACTGAAGTCACTGTCTAGGATCTGGGGTCTGTAGGCTCCTGGTGTGTACCAGGGCTCCACTCCCCGAGGCTCGAAAGTCAGCTCCACTGGGTAACATGATACTGGCCAACACAGTCTTAGGACCCCAGGGCCTGGACAGGACAGGTGAACAGATGGTGGGGGGGGGGCAACAAGAGAGACAGGGTGGCAAACAGACCTCCTTCTCCAGAGCAGCCTGCCTCTGCGCGTCCAGGAGTAGCTGCTTCTCTCTGCGAAAACTCTCCTCCTGAAGGGAGACAAGCCCCAGGCTGACTGCAGACCCCAAGACTGAGGTGGAGCCTGCCTTGTGCTCAAACCCCCTCCCCAAGGCAAGGTGGATCTAGCCATCGCCCTCCCTTACCTGGACATCCAGCTGAGCCAGTCTGGCCTTGATATCTTTAGTTCTGGTTGTAAGCTCCACCTCTAAATCTTGTAATTTCCTTTCCTGGCAGAAGTATGGCAGAGAGAAAGACATGGTGTAGAAAGGGTGGAGGGCATTAGCTGAGGGATAGGAGAAAGGTCCAGAACCCAGCAGGCCACACCCAACTCTAAGCTGGACTCGGGCTGGCTTCCTCTTTCCCTGTCCTGGCATCCTTCCAGCATACAGCATGCCACATCTTGCTGAGTCCCAGCGGGGCAGCCCCCAAGAACAAAGACATAAATGGTCTGACCTCTCCTTTCCAGGACTGGGCCTACTCCCAGGCTCAGAAAACAAAGGAGCAAAGATACCCTGACTCGTAGACATAGCCAGGGTTGAGATCCCCTTCCTGAAGGTGCCAGACTCTGCCCCACAACTCTTGGATCAGCACCCAAGACTTCCTACTCTGCATGGGAAGTGTGTAAGCACCGCCCCCACCCCAGGCCCTCACCTGATCCCGGTGCCGACGCCTCAGGTCCTCAAGCTGCTGGTCCTGCTCCTGCCTCATGTTCTCTAACTCTCGCTCATGGGCCCTTCGCAGGCGTTCCAGCTCTCCTGTCAGGTGCCCCAGGAGCTCAGCCCGCTGCTTTCTTTCCTGAAAAGATCATGGGGCCGCCTGTGGGAACCTACAGTGGCTCCTAACACCTCCAAAATCAGTCTCCCCAACTCCCGCTGTGGTAGATCAGTGAGATCGATGAAGATCACTGTCAGCTCCCCAGGTTTTGTCACGAGGCTGCTGTTCACCCCCAACGGGAGCAAGCCAAGTTGAGTTGGGGTCCACTCAAGTCATGGAACATTCCCACCTCTAGGCCAAAGAAGGATAACGAGATGGTTACTATTACTGTCCAGTTGACAGAGCCTGGGATCACCTAGGAGACAGGCTCTGCGCATGTCTGTGAGGGATTTTCTAGATTGGGTTAGCTGAGGTGGGAAGACCCACCCTAAATGTGGGCGGCACCGTTCCATGGGCTGAGACTCAGACTAAAGCAAGAACTGGAGCTGAGTGTCCGTACTCATCCCCCCGGTTCCTGACTGTGGACACAATGGGGCCAACTGCATCATGCTTCTGCACAAGGCTTCCCCACCATAATAAGAGGAAAGCCCCTTCCCCACCATAATAAGAGTGTAACTTGAAACACCCCCACCACCCCCACCCCCCACCCCCGAGTTGTCTTTGTCAGGTAGTTTGACACAGCAACAACATAAGAAAGTAACTAATGCAGGCAGATAATATCCAGCTACTGTTTGGCTCTTGGTTTTTCCTTGTTGTCCTGAAATTCCAGGCACCCTGGGGACATGGTTTTGGGGTGACTAAAACTGAAAGCTGTGGAGTCACACAGCTTGGCAAGGCGGCCTCATTCTCCAAAATGAAGGGGATGATGCGCACATTTCCCAAGGCTGCCTCGAGGACTGAACGCAGGAGGATGGCTAAGGAGCTCAGAGTAGTGCCTGGCACCTAGTAAAAGCTTGGTATCTATCCATCAGTAATCATTATCATTTAAACAAAGTACAGCCACCCTGGGGGAACAAGCGCCCCTCATTGGGGGATGAGGGTTTCTCATGCTTCAGAAGAAAAGCAGAACAATGGCCTTGTTATTGTAGGATGCCAGAGAAGTAAATCTCCTCTAACTGAGATTTTCCAGATCTCAGCCTCTCCCCAGGCCTGGCGGCCAGCAGCGAAGGACAACAGCTGGTGTTTCTATCTTTCTGTGTGCTACCTCAGCTTCATAGCGCTCTCTGGCCTCAGCCATCACTTGCCGGTGTTCCTCCTTCATCTTGTCCATCTTCCTCTCATGTTCCCTCTCCACCTCCTGGCGCTTGTCTCGGAGGAGGCTGCTGAGCTGGAAGGAGGACAGCAGGAACCCAGCTTGCAGGACTGAGAGGAGACAGGCCTGGGGACCTGCAGGTCTTACACATGAAGCGTCCCCAGCACACACACAGAGCACCAAAGCATGCACACATCTGAACTATTACCACTACCCCTCCCGACGGGCACACAAGAGCCTGGAAGGACCAAAGGTCCTGGCTTTGAGGGAGTGGAGGCCACTCGGGCTAGAGGGCCCAGAGACCTTCGTGGAGCTGACACAGAGCAGCACTCACCTCTTGCTCGTACTCGATCACCTGATGAACCTTCTGGTGAGCTCTCTGCTCGGCCCGCCCAAGGCTCTCCTGTAACTGGGCCTCCTCCTTCTGCTGAGCTGCCTCTATCTTCTTCTGGAGGCTGGAGACCACCTAAGGAGACAGCAGCACACACAAGGGAGTGCGGCCCTCAGAAGCAGAGCCACCAAGCAGGGACTCACTGCCAGAGATTTAGCACCCATCCCAGCATCCTATGGGGGAAGGAAACTCACTCCCTGTTGGCCAAGGGTGGGGCTGAACCCAGCATGAAGGGGTCTGAGGGCCCAGGCTCTGCCCCCTCAGACCAGGCCATACTCTTCTCACCTCCCGGTGCTTGGCCTCCAGTGAGGAACAGAGCCGCTCCAGCTCAGCACTGTGCTCCTTCTCTAGGCCTGCCAATGCCTGAGGAGAAGCAAAGAGCCTGTGAGAGAAGCAGGGGAGGGCGCTGGCCAGGTCCTGACCATGGGAAACCAGGGTTCAGAAGAGCACCTTGTTCTTTGGAAACAAGGGGCCAAGGAGAACCACAGGGACACTTCTGTTTTAAAATAACTCAGCCCCTAAAGTCTGCAGCTGGCAGAGGGGTAGGACAAGGCCACTGGAGAGGAGCCTTTCAGTAAACCTCAGGTCACTCCTTCCATCCTGACTCTGAGCAAGCCCACAGGTACATACACAAACCCATGGGAGTAAGAGCCAGGCCAGGCCAGATAGAGGTCAAAGTAGACTCTGTGGGAACCTGATCCAGATCACTGGGTGTCTAACAACCAAAGCTCTCTCACCAAAAGAAAAGTTCTGCGTGGCCTGTTACTGTAGTCTTTAATTTGGAGGCTGACGTGATGCTAGAAGGAGAAATGGGGGAAAGGAGGCCTGTGCAAAGGGCTAGCCTCTTATTCCAGGTCAGAAGTCAGGGAACAGCACCTTTTGTCAAGTCCGCTGCTCTGGCCGCAGCTCAATAGCAAAAGCTCCCCAAATCCACTGGACACGCCCCTGTACATCTGCTTCAGAGACCAGGACGAGCACCTGCCCTGAGTAGAGTGGGTCCACACGATGGGCCCAGGGAGTCAGCTCCCCCACTGCACCCCAAGCTGGAGCTAGCCCCTCTCATGCCCTGCATGCGACTTCATTTAGCTCGCTCACCTCTCTCCTCTCCCCTTCCAGCTGCTCCCTCAGCTGCTGCAGAACCACCTCCTTCTCAGCCTCCTTCTCCGCCTTCAAGGCGGCCTGGGCACTCCTCTCCTCAGCCTCCAGCTGCTCCCTCAGCTGCTCCAGCACCCTCTTGCTTTTCTGTTCCAAACTGGCTCTTTCGGCCTTCTGGAGGGTCTCTGATTCTTCTCGAAGCCTCTGCAGGGCGGCCTCTTGCTCGGCTCTGGGCAGACAGAATGGAATGAGAAAAGGCCTGTGTACTCAAGCCATCTCCTCAGGCCAGGCAGCTCCCAGTGCAGACTCACCTAATTTGGTTCTCAAATGCTTCGGGACTGGACTGCACCTGGGCCCGGAGGCGGGCCAGCCTCCACCTTTCTTCCTCTCTTAGCCGAGTCTCCTCTTCCGCCTCTTCCTCCTCAGCAGCTTTCTGCAGCTGTGCCTTCAGGAGGCTGAGGGAAAAGGAAAGGTAGGCTAGTGAGAGCGACCACAGAAGTCTTTCTTGTATTCAGGACCCGTGCTACTCCGCCTGCCTCTACGAGCCTTATGGCCGCCCTATAAGCCATCCTCAGTATTAGAGATCAGTCAACCTCTCACCCATGCTGGTTCCTCATGGACCTAAACTCCATTTACCCTTGCCACGGGAAGCAAGCGGCAGGCTGCTCGGTCCAGGGCTCCACCTGACTGGTTATCCCCTGGAGAAGGTATTCACTCAAGGAAGGTTACGACCACCCCGGGGGCCAATGTCTAGGCTCACATCTCTCACTCCTCGGTCATCAGGCTCTATCCTAGGCACACCAAACGTGTCACCATCTCCAGGTCTCACTACCCTCTTCTTCGCCCCTTGACTGGTTGGTTGCTCATGCTGCTTCTTCAGCCAAGAATTCCATTTTTCTTTTTTTTTTTTTTTTGGTTTTTCGAGACAGGGTTTCTCTGTGTAGCTTTGCGCCTTTCCTGGTACTCGCTTTGGAGACCAGGCTGGCCTCGAACTCACAGAAATCCGCCTGCCTCTGCCTCCCGAGTGCTGGGATTAAAGGCGTGCGCCACCACCGCCCGGCTAGAATTCCAATTTTCGATCTGACAAAACCATATTCGTTGACCAGCATGCAAGTTCCTCAGTTCACCTTCCCCTTACAGTCTGCATGCAGGCCTTTCCGAGCACAAGCTGACTTGTGCCATGCCTCACGGTACCTCATAACTAATCCGCTCTGCCTGCTTTCCCTGCAAGACAGGGAATTTCTTCAGAGCAAGAATCCTGCCTCTTGCCAGGCAGTGGTGGTGCACGCCTTTAATCCCAGCACTCCGGAGGCAGAGGCTGGTGGATCTCTGTGAGTTTGAGGCCAGCCTGGTCTACAGAGTGAGTTCTAGGACAGCCAGGGTTACACAGAGAAATCGTGTCTTGAAAAACCGGAAAAAAAAAAAAAAAAAGAATCCTGCCTTCTTTGGAGGAAGGGGGCAAGGGTCTCCTGTAGCCTAGGCTGGCTTCAGATTTCCTATGTAGACAAAAGTGGCCTTAACTCCTGATCCTTCTTCCTTCAGCCCCCAAGTGCTTGGGATTACAGGCTTACACCACCACAGCTGGCTAATGATACTGTCTTTAAGTCTTTTGTATCAAGCACAGAATATAGTAACAGACATAAAATGGTGCTCAATCAATGTGTTGAGTTTGCGCAATTATCACCTAGTCCCAAACTATGAGCGAGCCTTAAATGTCTACAAGAGGCACTTTATTTGACCGATGATATTCATCATTTCACCTGAAGCAAATATACCTCTGCTTTTAGAAACGATATCTTTTTGAGGGGTAACTCCTCACATAGACCCTACAAGACTAGTGGATGTGTATAGTGCATCCAGGAAGTTCAACCCTAAGAAAAACATGACTCAGAAGACCAGAAGACAACCTCTTTGAAAAGGTCTGTAGTGAATTCCAAAGCCAAAACAGATTTAGTACTTTTCCTACTTCAAGTTACTGATATCACTGCTTTCCTCCATAATGAGAAAAAAAAAATCTGAGCAGAGTATAAATCCTTCCTTTTGGACTCCCCAAAACCCTGTCTTTTTTTCCATGGCAAAATTTACACAGCTAACATGAATGTAGGGGTGACAGGGAATTTGGAGCAATCCAAGCTCTCCATTTTACACCTAACAAAAGGGCCAGAGCCTGCCTGACTTCTCAGTCAGCAGCGAGGAGGAGGGAAGTTTGTGTGGAAAGAGAAACAGAAGTCTCCTGAAGGCTTCTAGGAGAGCCAGACAAGGCTCTTACCCTCAGAGAAATCACTTTGTCATCGCTGGCTAAAACTATACATTTCAACCCAAAATCTAAACAAGAAATGTCATTTAGGGAACAACTGGTGTGTTCTAGGCCCTGGGGCAGATACCTCCAGCACCCTGGTCTCCATAATAAGCTTAGGGCCCTTAGGAGCCGCCTCACAGTGCTAGAGATGCTGTATTCTAGGGTTAGCCTTCTTTGGCTGCGCCCTGGCCTTTAGTTGGCCCAAGAAGGCGTGACAGAGGGTGGACGCTGGGGCAGAGAACCTGTGTTGGGCTAATGAGAGGTTGAACCTGACCTCCCACGATGATGAGGATGATGGTTATCTGTTTTGTTTCCTCAAAATTAAGCATGGATTTGCTATCTTTGGTCTGAAAATAGTAACTTTCAACAGCTCTTGAGTGTTCTGTCTAAAACGACAAGCTTGGCGTCAAACTGTCAACAAAGGACCTCCACACGCTTCTGAAGCAGCTTTCCTGGCCGAGGGTGTGGCACTCTGCTTACTACCCTCTTGGTAGCCATTCCCCCTCTCCTTCCGGGCAGAACCCTGCTTTTAGTCTAGTGCAGAAAGGCCAGCTGAAGGGCCACCTCCCCCGTCTCCCTGTCACCCAAGGAGCCAGGCCAGAGATGCTTTCCCTGGATAACTAATGCCATCCAGCACAGGTTTCTGGGAAAGGATTCTAGGAGTCACTTGGGTGAGGCTGTGGTGTGCCAGATGGGCCAGCACAGGAAAAGGGTGCCCCCCTCCCCACCCCCCTCCCCGGGGGGAAGGAGACCTGAGGGATTTCTCCTCCCGCTGGCGAAGCTGCACCACCTCCTCCTCCTCCGGCCACAGCCTCTCTTTCTGCCACTCCAGCAGCCGCCTCTGGTCTTCCTCCAGCTCCTGGGTCACGGCCTCTTCCATGGCCTTCAGTATAGCCTCGGAGAACTGCTTCTGGGGAGCTGCAGGCTCTGTGGTTTGCCTGTATCGGGGAGGGGCAGCTCACCACCACAGTGTTAGTGCCCACCGAGGTCCCACAGCTACACAACATCACACCGAAACTCTGATAGGGAGCCCCAGACAGGTCACACAGGGGCTGGCTAAAACACAGTGAGCGTCTGTCCTATGGGACAGGCCTCACGGAGTGGGTAAGGTCCAGGATCTTAGAAGGGGGACAGCCCATAACAGTCCTGAGAGGCTGTGGCCTGAGAGGTGGCTGGAGAACTGGCAGAGTAGAGAACGAAGTTCTCTCCCTCACGGGCTCTCCCCGGGCATGGCTCACAACCCTGTCTCTCCCTCATGGGCTCTCCCCGGGCATGGCTCACAGCCCTGTCTCTCCCTCACGGGCTCTCCCCGGGCATGGCTCACAGCCCTGTCTCTCCCTCACGGGCTCTCTCTGGGCATGGCTCACAGCCCTGTCTCTCCCTCACGGGCTCTCTCTGGGCATGGCTCACAGCCCTGTCTCTCCCTCACGGGCTCTCTCTGGGCATGACTCACAGCCCTGTCTCTCCCTCACGGGCTCTCTCTGGGCATGACTCACAGCCCTGTCTCAGTACCTCCACTATAGTTCTGCCTGCTATGTAAGGCTCTTTTCAGAAACAGGTCCCAGAGTCTGTTCTCTGCCTCCCAAACCAAGCAGAGGCCAAGGCAATGTAGAAGAATCTCAGAAGACGCTACGGAAGTTCCCTGCCTTGCTACCAAGGGAGCCAGGTGCTTCCCTGAGCCAAACGTGGTCAAAGACTTTCGTCCACTCATGGTTACGCTAATGTCTGGAAATGGGGAGAAACTCTGAGCGAAGCTGACTGCACAGAGGAATGTTAAGAGGAGACAATGGCATCAGTTGACTCTATGTCTAGAGAGTCATGAAGAGTATCAGGATAAAGGATTTTACTTCCTTAAAAGCCAGGAGGCATGTGCACTCCCGGGTCCCTGAGCATCACATTCCAGCCGGCCTCAGCACGTGCTCAGGCACTGCAGAACGGCCATGACGCAATCCAGCGGGAGCATGTGGGCAGGACCTGAATCCAAGAACCACTTCAGAGTCAAACAGGGAGCTAGCCAGCCCGACTGAGAGCCCTAAAACCCCCTCCCTCCAGCTCAGCAGTGTGGCAGATGGAAGGCAGCGGGAGGGGACAGCTCAGAATGGCAGAGGAGAACAGGGTGAAGAATCCGACTGTAGCCCGCAGTGACTAGCGAGAGAAAGACAGAAAAGGCTAGTGACATCTCTGAAACACCGTCAAGACTTGCCCTTCCCTATTCCTAAAATCAGAACTGAGAAAACACCCCTAAGCCATGCTCTCAATTCTCTGCTCCGAACTCCATCCCCCCACTCCTTCCACGTCCTGGCTTCCTGAGTCCCCTGACACAGCCAGCTGATGGCAGATATAGCAACATGGCTGCTACCTCCTCTGAGAATATGCCCTCCACAAGGGCCTCCCCTCCCAGCTCTCTGCCTCATCAACCCTCCAACTCATTTCCAACCCTGGCAGAAAGCATCTTTTTTCCCAGCAACAGTACCTTTTAATGTCTGCCTCCCTTGTGGGCTGCGGAGCTGTGTGTAGCCCTAGGGACAGATGCTGCAGGAAGATGGGACATCAGACCACACGTGCCCAGGCTACACACACCAGTGAACCTGCCTGCACGCCTGACACACAGGCAAATGCCTGCTTCCTGCCTCCCTAGTTTAAAGACTTGGTTATCCCGAACACCTTGCTTAGGTCTAAAGCACTGAATGATGCCGGAAAGAGCTAACGGGAAGGCGAGGGCTCGGGAAGAAGAGGTGGGTCTGGTTTCTAGGCCAACCGCTCAGGTATCAGTCTCCGTGAGACCCAGTTTCCAGTCATGGGAGGCAAAGGGGAGGCACCAGGGAGCCTAATCATTCAGGTTGGCCTTCAAGTAGCTCAGAGATACATAGGGGTGATCAAGGTGGGGAGGCAGGGAGGGAGAGGTGGTCCCCTGGAGCATTCTGAAGTAGGGGTACTACTGCTAAGCTAGAGAGCCAGATACCCCGACTCTCTGTAGTAGTACTGGGGACTAAACTAGGACCTTGCTTATGTTAGGTAAATAAATGCTCTACCACTGAGCTGCACAGCCAGCCAGTGGCTTGGATCCATTTACTATTCTGCAAATGCTAACAAAAGATGCAGACAATGAAGTCTATTGCCTAACTCTTCAGACACAGCTGCCAGATGCAGAACTCCCACACCACTCTGAAAAGCAACCAGTTCCTACTAGAAAAGACTCAAGGAAAGCAGAGCAGGCTCTTCCTGCGGATAGGACACACTGAGCCCGAGGACCAGTCAAAGGTCTGAAAACCCCAGAAGGGACAGCATCATTGAGACAGGAAGAAACATGAAGTCAGGGCACTGGGCAGCCAAGGTGTCTTAAGAGGAGCTGAGCCAAGCCTCTGGCCTCCCGACAGAGGGCCTGGGACCACCCCCTGACCTCTACCTAGCTTCCTCCCTCCGAGTCAAGCTCAGCTCCTGTCCTCATGAACAGCGCCCTGACCCACTGGGCCACAGTCTCCCAGAAGAGCTGAGAAAGCCACATTTGTCACTGAAGGATAGCTCACTGTCTGAAAAGCTGTGGTTGCTGTATGGCCATGTGACTCCAGCAGGGTTAGAGGATGAGATGGAGACCTGAGATAATGAGCTCATTGGCCTGGGCAGCTCTCAGTGAGTCAGCAGCAGAAAAACTGTCTGTTCGACAGCCCTGGGTCCTTTGTAGCCCTCATTCACTGGGGGAAATGAATAAATCCCAGAGCCGGGCACAGCTACCTCAGGCCTGAAGTCAAAGGTCAGGGCTCTAGAGGGCAAGCCTGCTCACTCTGTGACTCACCAGCAAGCCCCCTCCCCACCCTGAGCCCCCATCTCCTTTCTAAACATGCCATATTTGTTTTAAGAGAAAACTAGTCCTCGGTGGAGGAGAGAACACACTTCTCCTGGCTCCTGTTCATGAGCCACAAGGCTCCCCTCAGCCACCCTCAGACCTGGCAAGGACCAGTGATGGTGGAGCTCTCAAAGCTGCACACAGGGCACCACGGATGCATTCACCCCTCACTCCATTCCTTGCCACCACTCAAAGGGCATGGGCACTCAAGCAGTCCATACACTGGAAGACAGGACAGACACACAAAACTGGCCCTTACACCTCTGGAGAGACAGGTGAGGCGGGGCTGACTGCCACCTTCTCCTCAGGCTCCTCAGCCTCTTGCTGCCCAAGGCCCAGCTCTTCGGCCTGGGAGTGCTTTTCCTCAGCCCTCTCAGGGAAAGCAGGTGGGCTCAGGACCTGCTCCCTTGTAAGCAATAAAGAAGCAATTGTGTTAGAGCTGGGAGGGAGGGAAGAGTTCCACTTAGAGCCTCTTCGGGGTCAAAGAGCTGAGGTGGAGACAAGGAGGGCATCCCCATCCTCATCCCCATCCCCATCCCCATCCCCATCCCCATCCCCATCCCCATCCCCATCCCTCCCAGCCTCTTCTATGTCACTTGGAGTGAAGACCGGACATTCTCACCCACATGGGAAGAGAGATAGTCCCATCACCCAAAAAACACTGCACACAGCAGGTGTTCAATGGATGCTGTTGACTGAAATTGCTACAGCTCAGCTTCCCTTGTGGCTCACTCAACTGTATGAATCTTAAGACCACCATCTTCTTGCCAGGAGAATGAAGGCACTGGTAAATACACCCTGGGCTCTGGACCAGTCTGGGACAGGAAGGTCTTTCCATCTGGCTTGAGGAGGTCCAGGGCCGCCGCGCGCCCCCCCATCCTCCACACACACCCCGCCCCCGCCCCCCACACTGCCCTCTGGCTGGGCTTGGGACAAAACAGTGCTCCAGCTCAGTTTGAGACCAGAAGTGGGCTATGAGAAAGGAGCTGAAAGGGGTCCCCCCAGCAAGAATGTAGTGGTCTGCCCTGGCAGGAGGCGCACCCTTATTCAGGCCATCCCATGGCTCCCCCATCAGGCTGGCTACCCTAACTTCAGCTGTAGACTGAGAACTATGAAGAAGTCAATCAGCCCCGCCCAGCCTCTGCTGCTCTCCTCCTGACGTTCTGGCTGCAGTGTCTACAGCAGCTCTCGTCCCCATCTCCAGGCCCACCGTTCCTCCCGATTACAATGACACATGGAGGGGCCACCACCCTCAGGGACCCTTCTTCTTCATCCTTACCTCTGGAGGGGGGCCAGTGGGCTAGGGCTGACTACAGAGTCCTTCCCAGGCTCCTCTGCTTCCTTCCACTCAGGCTGCCCCTCCAGGGTCTGCAGAGGCCCTTCCTCACTGGCCTGGCTGTGAAGGGCACTCTGGAGTTGCTCCCTGGACAGAAATGGGGAATGATAAGCTGATCAGGGCAGCCAGAGGAGCAGAGACAGGCCTTCCCTTGGAAAACAAGAAGAGCACATACAGTGTGGGGGTACAGTGTGCACCTCCTCCGCTGGACAGGAGTCGCTGCACCCCACACTTACAGAGGCTTCAGATACAGCAGTCACACATGCAGCAGGACAGCCTCCTCCTCAGCCCCCTCCTGCAGGGTTACAGCCATGTTCTCAGTGCCCTGCTGCATCTGCCTGGTCCAGCAGCTGAACACCTTCACACATATATCCATTCTCAGAACCCACCATCACTGGGGCCAGGGAGGGATAAAAGAATTAAGGGAAAATGGGGAAAAGAAGGCCTGGAGAGATGGCACAGTGGTTAAGAGCACATACTGCTCTTCCAAGGACCCGAGTTCGATTCCCAGCACCCATGTCAGACGGCTCAAACCTGCCTGTAATTCCAGCTCCAGGGCATCCGGCACCTCTGGCTTCTGTGGGCACTCACCTTCCTGAGTGCACATGCATGCACACACAGAGATACACACATACACACTTAAAAATCAAATAAGAACATTGTAATGGGGCAAGGCTAGGTTGGAGAGACGACTCAGTGAAAAAGAACACTTGTTCTTTCAGAAGACTCAGGTTCCATCTCCAGCACCCACATGGCTGCTCACAACCATCTGTAACTCCAGTTCCAGGGGATCCAACACCCTCTTCTGACCTCCTCAGGTACCAGACACACAGGTGGTGCACGCCATACATGCAGGCAAAACATCACACACATAAAATAAATCTAAAAATAAAAATAAACGGGGAAGGGGACGCCGGACTCAGGTGGTCAGACGGTCGCCAATGCTGGAAGAGCATCACTGAGTACAGCAAGGAGGGAAGAGGGCAGACCGCATTCTCAGACCCAGGGAGAGAAGACTACCACCCTTCGTTTGCCCGGGTGGTAGCCCTCCTGCTTTTATGGGATGAGGCCAGGGGAACATGTGTGCGTGTGTGTGTGTGTGTGTGTGTGTGTGAGAGAGAGAGAGAGAGAGAGAGAGAGACAGAGAGACAGAGAGACAGAGACAGAGACAGAGTCTGCACAGCCATCTCTACCATCACAGGATCTCCTCTCTCTCTCTCTCTCTCTCTCTCTCTCTCTCCACAGCCATCATCACAGGAAGAACCCTGGCTCAGAATGCTGAACTTCAGTACCTAAGAACGTGGCTCTCCAGACATCCAACAGGCCACTTCAGCCCTGTCTCATGACCAGATACACACAGCTTAATCCAGTTTAATCAGCCCAAACCAATAAAGAGGACAGAGTCCTTGGACTCACCGAAGGGTCATGTACAGAGTCCTGCCATGTGACACTTCACACTCCTGTCACAGTATACCACCCCGGTAGACCCTACCCCAACACCACATACACACACACCTTGTACTGCCCTCCAGCCAGGGCACCATCTGTCCTCCAGCAAAGGCAAACTAGCCAACGTCAACCATAAAGACCAGGAATTCTACCCAAGCCCACACCACCCTGAAGACACAGAATGCCTCGGTTCCCTGAGGCAGCCTCCCACTGTACCTCTCAGAGACTTGGGAATGCTTGCTCTGTGGCTCGGCTCTACTGGACTGGCTGCCATCTTGTTCTTCTTGGCCTAATTCCTGGGCCTGCAAGCAAGAAGCCAGGGAAGAAACGCATTAGAGAGTTATGCACTGCAAGAGTCTCTTATCCTGCTGAGTCAAATGCTCGACGGGTGCACTATGCATGTCTTGAGAGGACAGGAGCCACTGAGACACAGAACGTGTCTGTCTGCTGTAGGATGCAGCTTCCTAAGCTCTAGCTAAGCCGCTGGCCCACAGATGGAACTGGAGATAAATAATATGGTCACTGCACACATAGACAGGAGCCAGAGATGGTGGGCAGGGGGACCTAAGAGCCTGGCCTGCTGCCTGGAGCCCGCACTGCTAGCTGCAAAGAGAAGGCAATGATCTCCAGGGACACCCTAAACTCACTGAGGCCTGGGCCACCTGTACCCTGGGCGGTACAGGGGTGCCAAAATAAAATGGGCAAGCACGCCAGAAAGAAAGACTTCCGAAGCACCAGGATCTGGGTGGAACAAGGGAGGCTATGCCCCAAACTGGAAGGTGCCGTCTGACTCTGGGGAGGACAGTGGCATTCCTTCCACTGGTCCATTCTAGGACATGAACCGTCATCAGTAGACAATGAGCACGCCCCCCCCACCCCCACTGCCCTACGGTCTGGTATTACAGCATTCATTTGAAAATAAACCCCCAAATCTTATTTCACATCTCGGGTATCTAGGCAAATTTAGCAAGCTGGTTTAAAAAAAAAGGCAATCTTTGATGATTTCAAATACTTCCTGAAGAAATGTAGTGGTGATGTCAGCCTGGGATCCACTCTTTGTTCCAGAACATCCTGCCTCAAGTGCCTCCTCCCCGAACTATGGCATGGTAAAGTCATGAGGGTGAAATGTCCTACACATAAACATAACTTCCACCGAGGAAGGCAGACCATAACACCAGTCCCTCCTCTCCTTTCTTCTCCCTCAGCCTCAGACAGAGGGGAAAGGAAAGCTCTGTGACAGCAGCACCAGGCCCCCCTCTAGGACTGGCCCTTCTTACCGGAGCACTGTCTGCTCTGGGACTCAGGGGTCATCGGGAGAGGTGGGGCAGGAGACAGATAGATCACTGTCTTCCCCAGTGGGGACCCAGCCCTCTGCCCACCTCACACACACACACACACACACACACACACACACACACACACACACTTCTCCTCTGGCAGCCTGAACCCCACCATTTGATCTGACCCTGCCATTTGGGTAGGTAAGAAGGGCATGGTCTGTACTAAAACCCAGCTCCCCCAAATTACATTAAAACTAGCAACGACGCCTGTGAGTACCTCTCAGCGCCTGTAGCAGAAGGGCTCCCTGCCAGGGCTGCCACTCCTCATTGCATCAGCCTGGGCAGAGCCTACACGCAATGACAGGCAAGCACACCCTCCCAGCTCCATCTCGCTCTCCTTCTAGTGTTCAGCTCACCACGAACCTTCCCTGCAAACCACCCGCGATCAGCCTCTTGGTCTCATGTTTTCAAAGAAACAGAGATCACACAGACCGGCTGCACTTCACAAACCATAAGTAACAAAACAGGGTGACTGCAATAAAAACTCAAAAGGAGCCCAGAGCCACAAAGGACTCCGGGACCGTGAGGATACAGAGGCTGACTGGAGCTGACCACAGACCATCACTCTGTCTGTCCCCTGCTTGCTTCATGTCCTGTACCTCTGCAGCAAGCTGAAGCAGCTTCCCGAGAGAGAAGGGATAACTCGGGGAAAGCAGACAGTGGGTCTTCAGTAGTTTCTCCTGCTCCCAGAACTCCTGCCCCAGAAAAGGAAAAGGGGACCCCGTAAGGGACGGGTGTGGTGACGCCCTCCAGAAAGAAGAGCCCAACAGGCGCATGCCAGGCCTCTGATCCGCCACCACTCAGGACCCCAGGACCCCAGCCTTCCCTCAGCTCCCGAGTTCTATTGTCAAGATCTAGTCCCAGGGTGGAAGCAGGAGGGCTGCAGGTCTGAGACAGGCCTGAGGAACTTAGATGGTTGTTCTTCTCAAGGGCAGGGCCCAGGATGCTGAGGCAGCTAAGTGGTGGAGAACTCACCTAGCTCACACAAAGCCCTATATTCCATGTCCACCAATGGAAGGGGGTTATTATCTTGACTGTGATGAGAGTTTCACAGGAATACAGACGGCAAAAATGTATCCAGTTTTTCTCTTTAAATATGCAGTTTATTGTATGGCCCTTACATCTGAGCTGTACTGTTTTCTTCCAGTGTCAGGGATGGAATCCAGGGTTTCACATGTGCTAGGCAAGCGCTCTACCACTGAGCTACATCCCTAGTCCTCAAAATAATTCCGAGATGAACAAAACTTAAGATAGTTTAATTCTAAGGCACTCCCTGTTCCTAGCCTTAGGAGAGATCAGAACAGAAGAAATGAGACCAGAGCCCCAGAGGACCACAAAGAAGACTGCACCTATGTTCTGTCTACGCTGTGAAGTGGCCGCTGCTCCCTCCTTCCACAGCTCCACCCTTCCACACCCCGAAGACAGGAGACAGCTGCAGGCTGGGCCCTGCCAGAGGCACGAGCATCTAGTACCATCCACACTCCACCATGATGGATGAAGTGTGAACTAGACCTTGCTCTGTGGGGCTGCCTGCCAGCAGGTGGTAGCTGCTGAGAACTAAATCCAAGCCGACCCCTGACCTGCTCTACACCAAGGGTAGCAGCCAGAAGGGACTACTGGCCTCATTAGGGCTCGGGTGGGCCCAGTTCCCAAGAAAGTCAGCCTTTGGAGCCACAGCCACCGAACCCACCCTGCCCTATGGACCTAGTGGCTTTCCCACTCTCTTGTTACCAAAGGGACCTCACAGCACACCTGCTCCAGGCCCTTCCTACCTAACCCTACCTGCCCTTCTCCGTGCCTTCATATCCTCAGCACCGCAAACGGGGATCCAAAGTCTAGCAGAGACCTGGTCACTGGGTAGCTACCCAGGAAAGCACCAGCCAGACCAGAGAGGGGGAACTTAAGGGGCTCAAATGCAGTCTGAAAACACTACTCTGTATGCACCAGCGCACACCCCACCAGGGGCTCCCTGGATGCACCCCACACACCAGGCTGGGTTCATATTAAACATCCTGCTGTTTCACCCAGCAGATTCCCATCCACTCACGCCAGTGCTCCCTAAAAACCTGCGGAGACTGTGTGCCAGAATCCCTCTTCTAGCAGCCCAAAAAGGAGAGAAACAGCTGCCCTGACTTACGCCCTTTTAGGGCAGCATCTGTGTTTCAGGCACCTTCCTGGGTGGAGGCCAGCTTACATCTAGCAGAGGAGACAGACAAAATACTGTAAAAGCAAAGTAATCCTGGGAGCAGAGAGGGGGCAAGTCATCTCCTCCAAGCAGGCGCCAGAACTGGGTCTCAGAGCCTCAAGAAGAGAACACAGGGGCCAAAGGGGAAGGAGCAAGGCTGGCAGAGCAGGCACAGGGGGCAACATGTGCAGACTGGTAAGGCGAGTCGTAGACCCAGCTGCTGGGTGGCACAGCCGGAAGGGATGGGTGGGCAGGGGGTCAACCCTCAGTTGCTGTATGAATAAATGGACATGCAGCAGGGCAGGAATGTTTCAGTGCACAGCAGCAACAAAGCAGTCATGGCCAGAAGCCCCGTGGAGGCAACTGTCTGGACAGAGAGAATGTCCAGAAGTCCACATTAATGGGCAGGCATCGTCTATAGGTCACCCTTAAAAGTAGCTGCCAGAGAAGGTGAGGGCCCAGGCTAGCCCACCCAGACTCACCTCCCAGCAGGCTCCACCCATGGCCAGAGAAAGCATGTCACCATCCAGCAGGTGCTCTGAGATCCGGCTGTGGAATCCAAAGTCCTGGAGATGGTGGAGATGAGAAAATCAGCTCTGCCCTTGCCATGGTCAGTGCTTGCCCACCTTTCAGAAAGGTGTGCACTGTGTCCTAGGCACCGAGCTCAACACTGTGACATCTAATGAAGCGCTCAGAGCAGACGAGATGGTGAGAAGAAGCAGAGCCAAAAGTTCCCTGTAGACACTGAGTGGAGAGTGGGTAGGTTTACTGTAAAATTCTTCCGATTTTTCTATATATTTGGTATTTTTCATAATAAAACTACAGACAAAAATAACCCTTTAAGACTGAAATGCTTATGCCCTCATGGACAAGCTGCAGGCCACGGAGGATGTGAAATTTGGCCCAGGACAAAAAGCTGGTAACAAGGGGGCTGCAGGTCAGATGAGCCCCGGCCGGGCCTGACTCTTCCTATGACACATGCCGCCCAGCATGGCTCTTCCCAGCTAGCTCCCTCCTCACCCATCCCATACCCAAGCAGGGCAGGAGAATACCGGCAAACCCAAACCCACGGGCGGCTTGGAAGTGAGACTCGATGGGCTCCTTCCAGCCTTCTCCCATAGAGGTGGCACTCTCCCTCAAGACAGTGTGATTCATTAGCAGTGATTTGTCCAGAGCCCTCTTGGGGACGCGCAGCAGGTGCCCACCCCAAGCCCAATTCCTCACTGCCCTTTGGCTGCCAGCAGGACCACACCACGCCCCTTCTGAGCCTACGATCCTGCCGGGCTGTGAAGGATTGCTGTCCAACAGTATTCTAATGGGGACAGTTCTGCCATCCCTGATGGATGGCGGGATGCCCAGAAAAGGTCTGATCCTGCTGTCTCCAGCTTCCTCCCTCCACACCCAGAGTAAAGACTGCTGATGGGCACAGCAGCACATGGTGGCAGCTTTGGAAGGACCAGACCACTTGTTTCTTAGAGTTCAGTCAAACAGTTATCCATCATGTCAAGTGTTTAGTTGGTTAAGTAGATGTCTTGTTGTTTTGTTTGGGGGTTTGGAAGGGTTTGATTTAGTTTGTTTTGGCCAATAATGAGTTTTGCACTTGTGGGTTTTTGTTTGTTTTGAGGTTTTATTTGTTTGTTTTGTTTTGTTTTTTGCTTACCTTTCTAGCCTTTCTAGTTTGTGGGGCTTTTCTTGGATTTTGATTATTTTCCCTTCAGTTTGATTTCTAAACATCTAATGCAGCGGCCATCTGCTTCCGAAGCCCCTGGCTCAGTGTGGGGCCAAAGCACTCAGCTGTCTAACTCCCCTGCACCCCTCCGATCTTCCCTGTTCATCCCTGACCCTCTTCCACTAGTCCCTTCCCTTATAACCGCCTCCTCTGAGCAGATGGAGGGGGACATGCAGAGGTAACAACGGGCCAAAAGTAGTCGAATCTTCCCTTTAAGACTCAGACTTGGCAAGTGGACTTGCGATCCAGCAGGCTGGATGAAGGTCCAGGACACAGAAATCATGGATGGCTTGGCAGTGCAAGACAAAAGCCTTAACTTTCAAATTAAATCCTGGCCAACACCTAGCAAAGTCCTCAAGCATGGCTCAGTGACCCAGGAACACCTGGAGCCTCCTGGATACAACTGTCCTGCCAGGCCCCAGGCAGCCCAGGTGGCCTCATAGACAAGTCACACAAAGTAAAAGTGCTGATACTAGCCCTTCACAGTCTATGCTCTGCCTTACTTCATTCCCACAGCAAACTGTAGTGGGCAGTGCTACCCCTGGTTACTGAGTTGAGAAACTGGAACTAACAAGACCTAATCTTGAGGGCTAACTGTCCCACTTCCCAGCTGTGTGACCATTGGTAAACTACTTCTCTAGGGAAAAAGAAACACCAAGCTCTTTCATACTGCCCTGCTGCGGCTCACTGCAACTCACCAGGCCAAGGAAAGACTTGGGGGCAGAAGCTTCGGACTCGGAGAGCTGTGGGTCCTTCAAGTGTTCAAGGACCTCTGACTCCTGCAGGGACACATGACAGAGAAACACCCCCCGAATGTTCTGGACTGCTATCCATGGAATTCCCAATAAGCCATAGGGCCAACACAGAACTGAGCCCAAGCCAAAAATCTACCCGTTTTGAAAACCAACAGTTATAAACACCTACACAAGAAAGGGGCTATGTACTTATGCTGATAGTGGACAACCACACCCCAAATCAGATCAGCAGGATTTAAACAGGAAAGGAGAGCTAAGAATAGTAGAGACAGGAAGTCAGCAGTATAGACGTTGATGCTATCTGAAAAAATAAAGCATATCTTAATGTGTGTGCATACTCATGTGCATGCAGGGTCCACTTTGTTTTGGGCACAGAAACTTTCACTGGCCTGAAGCCCCTCTGATCTGGCTAAGCCGGCTGGCCAGTGAGCTCCAGGGATCCATCCATCTCCCCTCCCCAGTGCTGGGGTTATAAAATGCTCATCAGTACACCCGGCTTTTAAGATGGATTCTGGGGGTCAAAGTTAGATCTTCATGTTGTTCAGCAAGCACTTTATGGACTAAACCATCTTACCAGCTCTGGAAGTGTCTTTTCCAGGGCTTAGATAGAAGCTCTTTAAATGAATTCCCTCACTATATGGAAAAAGACTAAGGGTAGGAAAAGCTATAATGCCAAAGGGGCGCTCTCGTACGAGTGTTCGCTCTCTCTCTCTCTCTCTCTCTGCCTCTCCCTCTCTCTCTCCCTCTCTACATATACATACACACACACACACACACACACACACACACACACACACACACACACACACAGAGACCTACTTCTGATCACATGGGTTTTTGAGGAATGCAACCACTTGCATGTCTGGGATTGTTACAATTGTCATAGAAATGGATGAGAAGGGTCATTCTGTAATCTGACCTACCTATGCAGATGCAGAACACTCAGCTCTGGTAGCCTTCACCTCACTCCCCACTCCAACACACACACACACACACACACACACACACACCCCTGCCCTTCTTTATAGGAACTCCGACTGAGCAAACCAAGACAACGGACAGGCGGCGAGAAGTCACGGGGAGAAATGAAGAGCATGGCCATCCCAGGAGGTGCCAATGGAAAAGCACACTTCTGCTCTGAATTCCCGGCGCCAGCAGGTCTGCCGTTTCATTCAGGATTTTACCTCCCACTGGGTCTGGGTATATCTGTCACAATTAAGGGCTCTGGCTGATGTGGACAGCTGAATGCAGCTCCTGACTCGGTAATACAGACATGGAGACAGGAAGCTAAGGAGCTGGAGACAGAGGCAGCAGGTTCCAGCGGACGACTGCCTTGGGACCAAGGGACTTACCTCACTGGCGTCTGATATGCTCTCCTCCAGGGCGGACACTTCCTTGGCTGTTTCCCTCCTGGAACCCTCCTCTCCTGCCTCCATGGCTTCCTCTGCCTGCTCCTTTTTAGAGGCCTTGGCAGGGTGATCATCCCCAGGGTCCAACCCAGGAGCCTTGAGATTGCTGTTCTCGTTTTCTTTCTGTAGGTTCCAGGGACTTGCCCCTCTTCCCCGGGACCTGCTGCCATCAGAGCTGTCCAGACTCCGGTCAGCACCCTGGCTGAACAGCTTGCCAGGGGTGGGGGGCCGATCGGCATCCGAGTCAAGAGAAACATCCTTCTTGTCCACTGGCTGGCTGCTTCTTGGAGACTCCTGGGGAGCAAAGACAATGTCAGAAAGGAGCCAAGAAGTTTAGAGACTGACACAAGATGGAGCGGCCATTCCTTGACTCTCAGCTGGCCTTTGTGAGCTCTGACCGTTATCCTGCATAGCTGTGTGTGTGTGTGTGTGTGTGTGTGTGTGTGTGTGTCTGTGGGTGTGTCTGTGTGTGCACTGCATGTGTGTGCATGTGCATGTGTGTGCCCTTGCATATGGAAGTCAGAGGTCAACATCAGCTGTCTTCTTCAGTTGCTCTCAGACATGGCCTCTCACTGAATCTGGAGCTCACCAATTTGGCCAGACTAACTGGCCAGCATGCTGCAGGAATCCACCTGTCTCTTTGCTACCACCATTGGGGTTCCAGATGTATGCTGTCACACCTGGAGTTTTAAGTGAATGCTAGGGAGCAGAACTCGTCTGCATGCTTGCACAGTGAGCACTCTACCCACTGAGCATCTCCCTAGCCCTCCCAAACAGCTTTTTTTAAATGTTTTGTTTTTGTGTGTATGTGTGGGCATGTGCATGTGAGTGCAGGTATCTGAAGAGATCCAGAAGCATTGGACCCTACTGGAACTAGAATTATGGGAAGTTGTAAACTACCCAATATAGGTACACGGGAACCAAATTCAGGTCTTCTGCAAAAGAGTATGTGCTCTTAACCACTGCGAGCCATCTCTTCAGTTGCCCAAATAGCTTTGCAAAACACAGATTGCTGCCCCTTGGCCCCCATCCAGATAAACTGAATGGCAATTTCTATGATGATACAGACACATCGAACAGGGCTTAGAAATTGCTGCAACTCTGCCATCATCTGCCACATCCCCCAGACCCATCAGCCAAGCCCTCAGACCTCAGGAGCCAATATTTACTTAGAAGAGAATAGCAAAGACTGGAACTTAGACTTTTCATTTTTCAAAGACAGAAAGGGAAAAACATAAGAAGGGTACCCTTCCTCCCCAAGTCTCCCTACACAAGCTCATCACCAGCAACCCCGCAGACACATCTTCTATCCAGGACTCTCAACCTGGGGTCTCTGAGAAGCGATGTCTAGAGGGATTAGCTGGGTGAGAGATGGGGCAGAGGCGACAAAGGAGGGTGGGCCTTCAGGAAAGACACAGGTCCATCACCTGTGACAGAGAGAGAAAGAGGAGCACAGGACAGTTCTGAGCAATCGGAGCCAAGCAGAGGGCTCAAGCAGGCTGCTGTCGGAGACGGTCCACATCAGGCAGGAGGGGCCCTGTCCCCAAACCCCAGGTGGGACCTGTCACACTAGAAGGAAGTGGAATCTTAGCAGGAACCAGCAAAGACAAAAGAGCCAGTAGCTGCAGTAGCTGGCAGCTGTTAATTTTCTAAACCCTGCTTTGGCTGGGTCCCCTGAAAGGAGAGCTGAGCTGTACACTTAACACAGTGACCACACCCTGTTTTCCACATACAAACTCACTAGTAAAAATCCAAGGCTGGCCGGGCGGTGGTGGCGCACGCCTTTAATCCCAGCACTCGGGAGGCAGAGCCAGGCGGATCTCTGTGAGTTCGAGGCCAGCCTGGTCTACGAAGTGAGTTCCAGGAAAGGCGCAAAACTACAGAGAAACCTTGTCTCGAAAAACCAAAAAAAAAAAAAAAAAAAAAATCCAAGGCTGCTTCTGGTAAACTCTTCATAGAGCTGACCAAAATAGAAACAGAAAGCCCTCCCTCAGAAACACAGCCAGTGATCTCTCCTGGGCTCAGACTCAGAGCCTCCTTCCAGAAAAACATCTGTGCTGGCACTTAGGCTGTCGGGCTGAACAACTCCTGATCAGGGATTTTTAGGACTTCCAGATTCGCTATCCTGAAGATTAAAACAAGGAGTGTATTAAATGCTACAGTCTGGATCTGGAGTGCCCCTCAAGAGGCCCGTGTGGTGGAGGCTTGCCCCCGAGCAGTACTACTGAGAAGGGGTGGAACTTTTAGGAGGTCTTTGGGTTACTAGGGGCACACCCTTCACCTCTTTGCTCCTTGGCTTATGGTGTGACCATCTCTGCTGTGCCCACATGGTCCTGCCATGATGCGCTACCTCACCCAGACCTAAAACAAGGGGGCTAATCAGTCACGGCCTCACTTTCGAAACTGCCAGCAGATATAATCCTTTTCTTAATATGGCTTAAAGTTCAGTTCGATATTTCACTATGGTCGCGGAAAGCTGAGCATCCCAAGTCGAGTCAGCAGCTGAAGGAGAAGACCTCAACACGGCATCTGCTGCTGTTCTAGCGCAGTGTCTGCTGAAGCCAAAGGCAGAGCCACTGTGGATCCAGCAGCTGGCTGACAGGCTAACCCAGGCTCCTGAGGAATGGTACAGGGAGGCAGGAGACGCAATCTCAAGCAAATTACTGTGCCTCCGCTCCTTCCTCTTAAATACATAGATTCACGGAGTGCCCACCTTACAAAGCCACTTGGAGGGTTAAATAAGTTAACACTCGTTGAGTGAGGTGAGGAACTTAGAACTATGCCTGTCTAGACTGTCGGTGCCCCAGAAATGATCACTAATGTTCTACGGTAATGAAACCCCATATTGATCCTCCGAGCACCCTCAGTGTGCCGCACACCCACTGCCTTCGGGAATAGGAGATGACCATACCCACCCTGCCTGTGGGGCGCTAGCTAACACTGAGAAAAGGGAACTGTCCCTTGTGGGCCAATGGTGAGTTCTGACTGCCCAAACCTAAGGAGCACTGGAGGCAGTGTGACCGCTGGTCCCAAGCCTGCCCCTGGGGGAAGGCAGAAGGAGGGGGGAGAAGCAGACAGTAGCCAGCACCACCCCACCACTCCCAAAACTCATACAGAGTAACGTTGCCTGCCGTCTAAAGGGGTGCCTCAGCCCCTTCTCTTCAGGAAGGTAGCTTCATTCAGGCTGGGGCCACGCCACCAACACTCAGCGGGAGCTCCACAGCTGGTCTACCAGGCTCTGTGGCTCCAAGGAGGAGGGTGAAGTTTACAGGGGGGCATCTGTTCACCACATGAGTCATTCAGCAAATGGGGCCAGTCCATGCTAGTCAGGCTCATCTTAGAATTAAGGAAGGCTCTCCTGCCCTCCTCCTTCAATCTGGGGCTGAAACCTAGTCCTAGGAGGGTTACCTAGCAACAAACTTTGGATTAGGAGACAAAGTGTCAGACACCAGAGAGCCCTTCCTGCTTCTCACAGTTCATCCCCACCATATCTTACACCCCTCCTGCCTGGGCTTGAACACTGGGCTATTTTTCTACTCTGCTATACACATTCTCTTCAGTTTTTAAGGATGTCAGACCCGGCACATGCTAAGCCTGTGCTCAACCACTAAGCCACATACTCCTGATACAAACACGCTCCCCCTCTGACAAACTACCACTGGTCCTCACAGCATCCCCTCTCCCAGGAAGCCTTCCTTGGCCTTTGGTCTCTGGACCCTGGGTCTTTCTGCCACAACAGCTATAATAGCTGTGGGTTTCTTTGCTTATTTTCCTTACTCGATGAACTCCCTATTGTGCTCAGAACCCAGTTTCTGGCATATATGGATGCTCAATAAAGTCTCAACTGAGGTTGTTTTGTTTTGTCTTTGTTTTTTAAGAACCCATGTGTTGCCATGCAGTGGTGGTAATCCCAGCACACTCAGGAGGCAGAGGCAGGTGGATATCTGTGGGTTCCAGGCCAGCCTGGTCTACAGAGCGAGTTCTAGCTAGACAGCCAGGCCTACAAAAAAAAAAAAAAAGTATGTGTGAGCCAATGGTAGGAGTGGAGGTTTCTCTTCTTCCTCTCCCAAATGAAGATGTAATATTTATTTGCCAAAGTCATATGTGGATTAGACTATTTCGGTGCAGTGCTTATGAAATGAAATGTTAACTCTTAACTATTCAAAATGATGAAAAAGCAAGTAGGCCATAAAACTCAGAGGGTGGCAGTCAGGTATGGTGGTGGCGGCCAGGTATGGTGGTGGTGGCCAGGTATGGTGGTGGCGGCCAGGTATGGTGGTGGCACACCTTTAATCCCAGTTTTCCAGAGGCAGAAGCAGGGTGGGGATCGTTTACCCATGGAGACCAGAAGAGGGCATAAGACCCGCTGGAATTACAAACAGTTGTGAGCCACCTGTTTGATGTAGGTGATGGGAACCAGCCTCGTGGTCCTTGGGAAGAACAGCAAGTGCTCATAACCAGTGAGCCATCTCTCTAGCCCCAAGATTCCCATAATTATACTGGAGAGAACACAACCCAACTGCAAGAATCTTGAGCTTCATCTAGGCAACTCTCAAATTTAAACCCTTCAGAAGATGAATTTCAGTGCGGGGCATACTCCCTGGGAGAGTGTGTGTCTAAAGTCTAAGGTCCCAGCTTCCACTTGCAGCAGCCCCCGTCTCCCCAAAAAGGAAGATTTCCATGTGACTGCGTGATTTCAATCTGTCTACCTAAACATAAAATTGATAAAATGAGGCAGCCATTAAAACAAACGGCCTTAGCCGGGCGGTGGTGGCGCACGCCTTTAATCCCAGCACTCGGGAGGCAGAGCCAGGCGGATCTCTGTGAGTTCGAGGCCAGCCTGGTCTCCAAAGCGAGTTCCAGGAAAGGCGCAAAGCTACACAGAGAAACCCTGTCTCGAAAAACCAAAAAAAAAAAACCAAACAAACGGCCTTAAAAATAAAATAAAATAAATGGCTTTGGTCTACATCCACATCTACTGACTACATCCATATGACAGCCAGAATTGGGTGGAGAAGGCAGGGGAAATTAAACACTGGCTATCTATCATCTACAAAAGGATGCAGGAAATCTAAGCATCTCATCTGACTCCACACTGTCCCTGCTCACCCAGCCCGTGCTCCTTGGCTGTCCCCAGGCCTAGGTTCTGAAGCCCCCAGCCAGTGAGCACGCCCCAGCCATCTCTGTACAGTCTCCTGCTCCAGGCTCTGTGGGTACACGGCTCTGCTCTGGGCCTCTCCATGCTCAAACTCCCCAACCTCCTCCTGCCACAGTCTCAAGTCCTTTTGCATCTCAAGGCATATTTCAAGATTTTGCCATCTGCACAAGGAGGGGGTGAAGAGGAGTGACTGCCAGAACCAGTTCTTGAATATTTAACACTTTTCAAAAGTCATGAGGCTCCCCAGGTTGCATTCCCACCCCCTTACCTGTCCAGAGCACAAAGGCACTTGGGCTCCCATGATCCACACAGGACAGGAGCGGGGAGTCATGGGGGCTGGGCGGAGATTGCCTCAACAGCATGCCCATGCATTCACACTGTTCTGGGGAGACTCCTGCTAAGCCAACCATCAGCCAGGGTTATTTTCCAGGTCTGGTGCCCATTCAGTTGGTCTCAATTCTTTGCACAGCTCCCCGGGTGTAGTTAGCACTTTCCAATCACACTGACATCATCCTGTGATTTCTAAGCCGAGGCTCCCTCCCTCTCCTTTTGAGAGCTGATGGCTTTTCATCAGCACCACATGACCACATACTGCCTGCTCGCCAGCCACCCTCTGCCTCCCCCTCTCCCTCAGAAGCCTTCTTGGTGTGGGTTCCTGAACCTTTCCCTTTGCCTCTGTGATAGACTAGCAGTGGGTTTAGGTTGGAAAGCTGAGGAGGGAGTCAATGCTGATGGAACTGCATTCCTGCCATCCTGCTGCCCTCTTATGGAAGTAAGAGCAAAGTGACTGGGAACACAGGGCAGGGTAAACCCAGGAAGAAAGGCTGCAGCCGCAACCAGAGCGAACTGCAAAACCCAGATGTGTGTGTGGGGGGTGGCGGGGGGTATACACCAGGACAAAAGTCATTTCAAAGATCAGTGCCCAAGTGGAGGCAGCTTTGCCTGCCTAGACGCCTACACTGATCTCCACCACTAACATCTCCCCCAAGAAAAACCCTAATACCTACCTGAGGTTAGAACACACGACTCCAACACCCATGTGGCAGAGAAGTGGAGACAGGTGTGCGAGGTGTCTAAGCATCACCTACTCCAGACACTTCCCCACCTCCCTGTGGTGCCAAGCAAGCTATTAAAATGTTTTAAAAGCTCCCACTCCCCTCACCAGCAAAGGGAAAACTCTAGAAATCCGTAACATGTCAGAGGAGAAACACCTATCTTGGTTGACATCTGCAATCCATTAAGAAGTAGTCAGGATCAAGCTACAGGGGAATTTCAACCCACCAGCTGACTGCAAGGAATCTACTGTACCCAGAAAGCGAGGAAGCCAAGGGAAGGAAGAAACACCACCCAGCCTGTCTAGATACCCTCCACTCCATTCTCTCAGCTGCTAAACCAAACACACCCAAGCACTTCCTGTGTCTCAGCGAGAGGGCTAGGTGCTGGGTATATAGACATAAATTATGCAGCATCTACACCCTCCCTGTGCCTGGTCCCCTGGAAAGCAGTTATTCTCTTTCCTCAAACATGCAAGCCTTCATGACACCCCTTCTCCTAGTCACAGACATCCACCCAGGTGCAAACTGAGGACCTTCTTGGAGTCCACCAGTCGGTCAGCGCTGGTTAACGGTGGCTGAGAAGGAAACCAAGTCCTCCCGTAGAGAACCAAACAGAGTTCTTCACTCAGGCAGAGCAGCTCCACTCGGAAGGAGCAGCCTCCAAGCAGACGTGTGTCAGATTGGAGATACAGATGGGACAGTCGGGAGAAGTGCTACATTTGGCAGAAGTGTTAAAGTCACAATCAAAACATAGCTGACTGTGCAGAACCAAAGGCCTGAACAGATTCAGGGAGAATAAGCAAAGCTTCCCTATGAGATAGGTCCTGCCCCAAAGATACGTACGGTTGGGTCCCCCTTAAAAGATGCACCCACAGTGAGGTCGCAAGTACCAATCCAGAGCTTGCAGCCGGCGTGTGGACTGAGACAGTACCCTCACCTCCAAGGAGTGGTGAGTACCAAGAAATATGAGTCAGAGATAAAAGAGACTGGGCCAGGAAGACAGTTTAGTGGGTAAAGGCACTTGCTGCCAAGCTTGACAACCCGAGTTCGATCCCCAGGAACCTCATGGAAGGAGGAAACTGACTCCTGAAAGTTGTCCTCCAACCTCCACATGTACGTTGTGACACACACAGTGCAAATAAATACGCTGAAATGCAATTTTAAAAAACAGGCCGGGCGATGGTGGTACATGCCTTTGATCCCAGCACTCGGGAAGCAGAGCCCGGCGGATCTCTGTGAGTTCGAGGCCAGCCTGGTCTACAGAGTGAGATCCAGGACAGGCACCAAAACTACACAGAGAAACCCTGTCTCGAAAATAATAATAATAATAATAATAATAATAATAATAATAATAATAATAATAATAAGGGAGGCTGAGGAGATGTCTCAGAGGGTAAGAATGCTTGCTGTCTAAGCGTGAGCCCCCATGTAAAAAGTCAGGTGTGGCCACAGGAGATTCCCTGGGACATGCTGGCTGCCAGCCTAGTGCCAGGCTCAGTGAGAAACTCTATGTTGAGGGGATAATTAAGCAGTGAGTGGTAGAGCAGAACATCCAATGTCCTCCTCTGGCTGCCATGTGCACTTGAACATATGATACAGCAAGTATACATGTGCAACACACACAATCACATACACACAAAGAATACGGATAATAAAGAAACCAACTAAAATTTGTGAGGGGAGCCCCTTTGCTTTTCTGGCCAGCTTTGTGGTCATTCTAATGATATAAAAGTGATTTTGCCTTAAAACATAATATATAAGACCTGTATGAGGCCTACTCCTTGTGGTCGATATTCAAATGTCTTTATGAATCTAATTTGCAACTTCATGATTCAGTGCTTATAACAAATATTTTAGGAAAATTTAGAGAACTGTTACTTGCTTAAAAATTAATAAATCAGGAACTGGAGAGATGGCTTAGAAAGTTAAGAGCACTGACTGCTCTTCCAGAGGTCCTGAGTTCAATTCCTAGCAACCACATGGTGGCTCACAACTGTCTGTAATGAGATCTGGTGCCCTCTTCTGGCCTGCAGGCATACATGCAGACAGAACATTGTATACATAATAAATAAACAATAGAGCCGGGCGGTGGTGGCGCACGCCTTTAATCCCAGCACTCGGGAGGCAGAGCCAGGTGGATCTCTGTGAGTTCGAGGCCAGCCTGGGCTACCAAGTGAGTTCCAGGACAGGCGCAAAGCTACACAGAGAAACCCTGTCTCGAAAAACCAAAAAAAAAAAAAAAATAAATAAATAAATAAATAAATAAACAATAATAATAAATCAGACACTAGACAGAGAACATACAGTAGGAGATGTCCCTATGATTTCTAAGTCCAGGTTCCAAAACATGCACAAAAAGTATGAGTATAATGACATGGTAACTTGTACTGCCTGTGTGCTCCCCATAAAAAACATGCTGGAGGCAGCAAAGGTCAGACTTCAGAGACAGGTGGGCCCTTGGAAGCATGTTCCAGAAGCTATACCCACCCATATGCTTTTGTCTACCCTTAAATCTTTGCTCAAGCTCTTCATTTACCTAGACAATCCCCTGTCTAAAAATTAGACTGGTCATTTGATAGCTGAGAGAATGGATTCCCTGAACCCCAAAAATCCTGAACAGACCCAAATGGACCAGTTCCTTTTCCACATATGCTCCGCGAGACAGCGGCAAAGCTTCAGAAGGAAAAAAGGTACGGCCCGAGCGAGGCATTTACCAGCAGGGTTCTTGGGCTCTTACCTCATACTCAAAGTTACCTCCCAGGGCGCTGAGGTCCAGGTGCAGGTTCTTGAGAAGCTCACTGGAGCTTCGGACACTCTGCAAGCAAGAACAATGATGAACAGCATCTTAGTCAGGGTTTCTGTTGCTGTGATGGAGTTCAGGACCAAAAGCAGCTTGGGGCGGGAAGGGTTTACTTCAGCTTACAACTCTCAGGTCATAGTCAGTTACCGAAGGAGCTAAGGGAAGGGACAAGACACAAGAACTAATGCAGAAGCCATGGAGGAGTGCTACTTACTAGCTTGCTCCTCCTGGCCTGCTCAGTCTAATTGATTGATTGATTGATTGATTGATTGACTGACTGATTGATTGATGGCTTTTCCAGACAAGGTTCTCTGTGTAGCCCTGGCTATCCTGGAACTCACTCTACCAGGCTGGCCTCGAATTCAGAGATCCACCTGCCTCCACCTCCCAAGTGCTTGGATTAAAGGCGTGCACCACCACCAACTGGTTGCTCAGCCTGCATTTGTACAGCCCAGGACTACCTGTTCAGAGATAGCACCACCCACAACGTGCTGGGCATCCATGAATCACTAATTGAGAATATGCTTCACAGGCTTGAGTACAGGCCAATCTTATGGAAGTATTTTTCTCAATCAGGGTTCCCTCTTCTCAGATAACTCCAGCTTGTGTCAAGTTGAAGAAAGAAAGAAAAGAAAGAAAGAAAGAAAGAAAGAAAGAAAGGAAGGAAGGAAGGAAGGAAGGAAGGAAGGAAGGAAGGAAGAAGAAAGAAAGAAAGAAAGAAAGAAAGAAAGAAAGAAAGAAAGAAAGAAAGAAAGAAAGAAAGAAAGAAAGAAAGAAAAAGAAAGGTGATAAGTCTAAAGGAATTGGCCAGCCCAACATGCAGAGGAGAATGGGAGTGCCCTGGCAAGGCTTTGGAGGACTCCAGGGCAGGCCCTCCACTGAGGCCTCTCTAAGCAGCCTTTTGTCAAGTGAGCACAAGGCCAAACAAGCATGTTGTGTTCTCCAGCTCAAATGTGAGAGGCATACAGACTGGTCAAGAAAGGAAGTTATGGGTGGAAAAACACTTATTTATTTTTAAATGGCTGGGAGGTTAGCCAAAGATAGAACTAATCCATGTATCTACCAACAGATGAGTGCATAAACAGAACATGGTGCATACACACAACAGGCTTAAAATGCGTGTTTACATACTGACTGCAGCATGCTGAGGGAAAAGGTGCCAGACATCAAAGACAAACACTACGCGATTTTACTCCTCTGAAACATCTAGAACCGGCAAATCCATAAGCACCCCCACAAAAAAAAAAATATATTTAGAGGTTACCAGGGGCTGGAAGAAAAAGGAATGATTTATTGTATGGGGGCTAGAATATGGGATTATAAACAAGTTCTGAAAATGGACAGTTGTGATGATAACATTAACATTATGATAAAACCTAATAATCCCTGAATTACTGTACCATTAAAATAGGTTAAAAATCTTACCTGTGTGTGAGAGCTTTACTGCAACTGAAATATACAGAATATGTCTATAGACCCAGAGGGCTTCCAGACCAGAAAGGGACCTCCACATTACCTGGTTTCCAGGCCAGAAAGGGACTTCCCCATTACCTGGTTGTCACTCTCCTCCTTGTCCTCCTCGTTGGTCTCCTCCCCTAGAGTCAAGAGGCTGAGAGCATGCTTGCCCTCGTGAGCAGAACCCAAGAAACCCTTTGCACGAGCAGCAGTCTTGAGACCCTGTAGAGGCTCCAAAACACAAAGAGAACAAGGGACTTACCGGAAAGGCCTTGAGAATGACGCTGGCATGCTCCCTCAATTCCTACCTAGATGGGTCCCCAATCAAGTCCTACCATGTCCATGAGTCTAATTCACACTGCCTACTACTCCCTTCCCAACTCCAGCGTCCCAGCCACGTGGATGGGGAGACCAGCACAGGTGGCCTGCAGCCCAGTCCACCCCCATGCCAGAGTGACTATTCTCACACTAACTGGTGAACTCTGAAGACACAGCTTGTGTCTCAGTGACAGGCCACAGTTCCCAGGATGATACCCAGAAGGTCCCACAGTAACAAAGCACATGCGCAGTGGAGAAAGGACTCACCAGCGTGGGTTCCCCATGCTGCCCAGAATCTGCCAAGCTCCCCAGGTTCACACTCTGAGATCCACGAAGAGCAGAGGGTTGGGCATCCCCAGGGCCTCGTAAGGGAGCCAGGCTCCAAAGAGGGGCCTGGACTGGGGCTAAGGGGGAACCCAGGACCTGGGCAACAGAACACATCTTGTTACAAACCCCAGAAACCACGTGGCTCTCAGGGCGTTGGAGGCAGATATAAAAATAAAGCATCTAAATCCTGCCCGTTCAAATTTAAACCGCCTCCGCTTGGAGGCTGCTAATGAAACACAACATCCAGAAATACCATGTGCCAACTGGGTGAGACTCACAGACCAGTTTCCTGATTCTGATAACTTGTGTGCTAGCTCACATCTGGCAGATACTAAGACTGGGGCCTCTGCTCCCCTTTCAGGAGCCACATAATAAGTGAACAGGATGGGGGCGGGGGTAGGGGGACAGAGATAAACCCCAGCTACTAGAAGTCTCTACAGTTGACACTTAAAACTGATGAGTCAAGAAAAGGCAGTCTCAACGTGTTCCTGACAAAGACAGAAGTAGACACCAGAAGAGAGTGCAGGCCTCCTTGGAGAGCTGTGCACACAGGAGGCTGCTGTACATGAACATGTGCCTTGTCGTTCTCTGACTTTCCCCAGTTCTCAGGAGAACCAAGTGAAGGACTGGAGTCAAAATCCAGGCTGCGTCCATCCGAATGTGTGAACCCTCAGGTTATTCATAGCCTCTCCCATCCCCAGTTCCTTCATCTGCAAGACCAAGGGGATCCATGCTTGGCCCTACAGGGTCTGCTAAGAAGCTCAAAGGAGATGATGGACACAGGGGCCTCTGTAAGGGGCCCAGGGATGTAGCAATATTATGGAATCTATCATCTGGCCTAACAGAATCGAGAGGCCAGCAAAGGGGCCGGAGAGATGGCTCACTGGTTAAGAGAGTCTGCTGCTCTCCAGAGGGTCTAAGTTCATTCAGTTCCCATAACCTACTTCAGGCAGCTCACACACACCTGCAGGCAACTACAGTTCTAGACGATCTCTGACGCCCTCTTCTGGCCTCCACAAGCACTTGCACTCACACAGACACACACAGACACACACACACACACACAGTTAAAAATAAAATCTTACCAAAAAAAAAAAAAAAAAATGCCGGGCGGTGGTGGCGCACGCCTTTAATCCCAGCACTCGGGAGGCAGAGCCAGGCGGATCTCTGAGTTCGAGGCCAGCCTGGTCTACAGAGCGAGATCCAGGAAAGGCGCAAAACTACACAGAGAAACCTTGTCTCGAAAAACCAAAAAAAAAAAAAAAAATCTTAAAAAAGAGATCCCAAAAATTAAAAAAAAAAAAAAGAGAGATACCACCACCACCCCTGCTGGAGAGATGGCTCAGTGGTTAAGAGCACTGACTGTTCTTCCAGAGGACCCGGGTTCAATTCTCAGCACCCACATGGCAGCTCAGAACTCTTCCTAATGCCAGTTCCAGGGGATCCAACGCCCTCACACAAACATACATGCAGGCAAAACACCAACGCACATGGAATAAAAATAAAGTTAAAAAAAAAAAACTTAAAAAAAAAGACCAGCACAGCATACCGGGGACACATTACAACACTCTTCAAAAAGAACAGGCAGGCAGTGGTGGCGCACACCTTTAGTCCCAGCGCTCGAGTGCAGAGGCAGGCAGATCTCTGTGAGTTCGAGGCCAGCCTGGTGTACAGAGCGAGATCCAGGACAGCCAGGGCTACACAGTGAAACCCTGTCTTGAAGAAACAAACACACAAAAAAAAAACAGAGAACATATTCTACTCCACACTAACCCCCAAGGAGTGAAAAAAGAAAGGTGGATCCAAAGGTCAGAGTCACCACCTTCTCGGCCAGTCTGGCCCAGGGAAGAGGTCCCTGGGCAAGTCCCAGCAGGGCCTAGCTCTGCCTTCAGGACACCTGAACCTTGGCTGAGAAGTGAGGTAAGACACTCCTTACCTCTGCAGATGGCCAATCACGTGACCTGCTGTGGAGCACCTTTGTCAGGGAGAAAAGCTACGAACACCCATTGGTCAGTGGTGCTCAGTTGGGCCCTGCTCATTCTCACAAATCACCCAAGGTGGGCTCCACCACTATGCAGAGACCCCACTTGAGTAAACGGAGGTGGGTGTGGCCAAGAATCCTGTCCAGAGTCACAGGCTCAGTGGGGCAGAGAGGAGACCGAGTCCGGGATTATCTCAGGGAGCGTACTCCTTATGGTCTTAAGACTATGGTAGGAGAAGTGCAGGGGGCTGAGCCTGCCCCCCCTGCTCAGCCCTTCCACCAGCCCAAGCATATCAGCAAGCAAAATCCTTCCCACACCGTATTTATAGAAAATTACAGACTCCTAACATGGCTAATTTGCTAACGTGCTGGGGGCTTGAGGGAGGGAGACAGGCGTGCTGAGAGGCCTTTGTTCTCTTGGGCCTTTACTGAATCGGTGGTTAGCAGGGAAATTATACACCCCTGACTCCTAGCTGATCATCTTCTATAGACGGCCATTAACTCTGAGCATGGGGCTGTGCGTGCCATTGTCCTTCAGAGCAGATAAACTTGATGCCATTGGGCTAATTAAAACTTTCAGGATAATCTGTGGCTTATCCGATATTTATAGTACTACACTAGTTATTAGGACTAACGGAGAACCAGTGCATGTCGGCAATTAGGGACCAGAGGGAACAACTGGGTAGAGCCGCAGCTGGGCCACAGCGAAACACCTAGGGAATTCCGACTGAGCCCCGTGGTCCCATGCAACTTGACTTCTGAATGGAGAACGGGGTGACTCCGAAAGGGACAAAGTGAAAGCTTGACAGGGCAAGCCCCACCCTTTAGAAAACCCCGGCAGGGAAGTGGAGTCACAAACAGGGTCCACACAACCTGGCCTAGGTCAGTCATGTGAGTCTCTGGGAGGCAAGGAGCAGAAGCAGCTGGCTGCGTGGCAGCGGCAGGCTATGGGCTCGGTCCTTCCTGAGAGGGCTGGAGTTGAGCACTCCAGTGCTGTGTGCCTCCAAGAAGGGAGCGTGCAAAGCTCTGGGGAAGAGGACCTACTCTGAAGGACTCTTCTCGAGAATCAGCTGGTAGGAAAGACTTCCCAAATTCCAGAAAACGCCTGGATTCTGTCTAAGGGCCAGCACCATCCATGCCGCCCTCCCCACCCTCAGAAGAAATCCCTTCAAAGCGTGTGAACCACCCACGAGCATGGCTACCATGGATGCCCTCAGCTCTAGCCTGCAGGTGACGGAGTAGGACAAACTTGAAATCCAGGGCATCTCATCAGGTGGCCACTTGGGTAGTTAGGGGATCCTCAGTCACTGAAGGAGGGTTAGCATTAGAAAGCAGACCGGTGTGTGGGCTTTGGAGCAACTGCTGGTCTACCTGTTCCCTCCCTGCTGAGCCCAGGGGCCCTGGACCTGTGGCCACACTTTCTAAGAAGCCTACCTGGTTGAGAAGCTGCATCTTGCTTGGCTCTGCAGCAAGCCCGGTGTCGGAACTGGGCTGGACTAGCCCCTGCCTGAGGCCACTGCTTAGCTGGCATTGTGCTTGCTGAGAAACCTCCTGCTCGGCAGGGGCAGAAACCACTTCTGGAGAGTGCTCCAGCAGCTCCGGCCCCCAAGCCAGTAACCCCGAGTCCCTCTCCTGAGCTCTGATGGCCTTGTGTTCACCCTCACTAGACATCCTGGAAGACTCTGCGGCCAGGCAGCAGACCATGCCGGCGAGGTCTTTGCACGGCATCTCCTGCATGTTCTCAGGCAGCCCCAGGCCCTTCCGCCGCCTGGAGATCTTGTCCATCTGCAGGATGTGCTGGTAGAATCTCTGGTCCTCAGAGTAGTCTTCAATCTCTGACTGCTCCTCAGCAGAGCTCTGTGTGTGGGACAACTGAGGCACCAGGAAAGGGCAGAAATGCACATCTCTAGGCCCTGGGCCTGACTGACCCGTGATAGGAACACACCCCTGGGGACTCTGAAGGTCCCAGGGGAAGTTGTTTACCTCACCTAGGACCTGTGAGCCAAGGGGCGAGGCCAGGCTGCTACCCTCTTCACTACTGCTATCCGAGTCAGCCCCGGGCACACTAGGCTTCCTATCTTCATTAGGAAACTCTGGAGACTCAGGTAGATGGTGCCTCTCTTTACTGGCAGGATCCCCTGAAGGGGGCTTCAGAATTGGTTCTAATGCCAGGGTATCAAGTGGCATCAGAGAGAAGCCCTGTGGTGAATCTTCAGCTGAGACCTCTGGAAGCTTGGGAGCAGCAGGCTCCATTTCCTTGAAGTTCTCTGTGGTATCCTTGTTGACAAGCCTGGAGACCTGTCCTCTCCATAGTCCCGGGGGCTCTCTCCTCCACCTCCCCCTGCCCAGGTCCCCACCTTCCCCAGGAACTCCCTGCCAGTTCAAGTCCTCTGCTGGGCTACTCTCTAGTAAAAACAGCTTGCTTTTCCTGGCAGGCAGCACATGGTCAGATGGACACAGGGACCGGGAGGGCTCCTCCTCAGAGGACGGCAAGGGAATGGGGCTCTGACCTTTGTCCCCTCCAGGGCCAGTACAGCTCATGGCTATGCTGTGACTATGCTGCTCCCCTTTCAGCTGCAGGCCTTCGGAGGCTTCGGAAAGCTTAGAATGGACAGGAGTCTGGCTCCTGCACTCTAACACATCCTGCCCATTCTGGAGTGGCTCGGTGATCTGAGCACCCCCGGTGCCAGGTTTCTGCTGTCTGGTCCTCAATTCCAGCTTTTCTATTTCAGGGTCTGAAAATCCCAGGTAGAATTTCTCTGTTGCTTTCTGAGTGGACTCCAGACTCTGCGGGTCTCCTAAGTCTGTCTTGCATTGGACCGGAGGCCTGCCTAAGATTTTTTCCACATCAGCAAAGATCTGGTGGGTCCGAGGAGCTTGGCCTTTGGAAAGTGGCTGCAGCTTGCCAGGAAGGGCACCCATGAGAGGCCACAGGGTGTCACCCTGTATACACAGGCTCCTCCCTTTCTTAAAAGTGGCCTCACTTCTAGCCTGCACCTCTTGGTCTAGGTCCAGATCAGCAAGCCCAGTTGCTGGGAGAGGGGACAGGCCACGGAGAAAGGAGGAAGAAGGCAGAAGTCCCTGTTCAGGCTGTGTTTCCTAGATGGGTATATAAATATGCAGAGAAAATAAGGACTAACTGACCTTCTCATGGATTCTTGCTACCTCAGCCCAAGACCCATATCAGAAAACCACCCTCCTTAAGATAAAGCAGAAACAAGACAGAGAGAAGGCCCAAACTCCCTTAGGCTAAACATATGCCCTTTCTAGGTTCTAGCTCCCGACTATAGAGAGGAAAAAACGACAACCATATTAACAGCCTATAAACCTTGTTCCACAGAGCCCTGGGATGCTACCACAGTGAGAAGGCTATACTGGAGTGACATGGAAGAGGAGCACAGCCCCTGTCAACCCGAGGAGGCCTGTTTGTTTGGAAGCTGCTCTCTACAGAGCAGCCGTCTGAAGGCAGCACCTTACCACTAGTCAAAGCCTGGAGGCCACAGCCATGTGATTGATCCCCAAGCTTCCTCTAGCCCTCAGGTTCACGATCGGTTAGTTTTATAAAAGCCTCATCAAGGACTCCCAGAAACGTCCTCTGAGGAAGAGAGGAAGCCTGGGAAATTCAGTTGAGTGCCCTCTACCACCAGCACAGATTGGCACTGCTTAAAAGACCTCCAGTCTCAGAAAGCCTTAAGATAACCAACCACCCTCTGCGAACACACCAACCAGCAGGAGCACACATGTCCAGAGGGCCCAGACCACCTGAGTCTAGGAGCCCATGAGCCTCAGGCCTGACCACTAGACAAACTCAAGCTTGAGGTGCCTGGCCTGAGGACCCAGGGCTGCCCAGCTGTCCTTTCCCGGAACCACAGAGGGGTCCTTTCTAACAAGGAGCTCCTGGGACTCAAACATACATCCAGAGCCAAGGCTGTCACCCAAGCCCACCTCGAGTCAGGCTGGAGCCTGCCAGGTGCCAAGACATCATTTCGGATTATCCTGGCGAATGAAAGGTCTAGCATCCACCTCTGTTTTTCAACTACACGATGATATCAGAAAGTTCTAAGATTCTGTTTGGAAAGCACTTGTCTTCACTGTTCTGGAGGAACGGGCTTCTCACCCTGTTCCTCAGAACCGTGCAGAAAGCTGGGGGGGGCAAGGGGATGCAGAGCGGCAACAGAACCTGAACATGATAAAGGACCAAACGGCTTAACAACTGTTCAAGGCCAGAGCTGACACTTTAGGAAAGAGACAACAGGCCGGGGATGTGCCTCACCGCTAGAACACCTGCCTAGCATGTAGCCCCAGGAATCCTCAACGCGGGGAGAGGGGGAGCCACCAGGTGGGTCTCAGAAGGACAAAACAACTGGACCACTGAGAGTTGTCTTCACAGTGCTCCCAAAGTGGTCCCCGCAGTGCTCCTCACAGGGCTGAACCGAGTTGCTTCCTCAGGCTGCCAGCCCCACGCCTGCATGAGGAGGACAAAGTCTGTCCGGAAGCACAGGGACTCACTTTAGTAAGGCTCGCTCTCAGCTCCTCCTGAAGCCTGAAGTAAGGGTGATCACCTCCACCTCCTACATGCAGGCATGCTGAGTGAGAAATAAACGATGGGCACAGCCTTCTGAACTCAGCCCAAAAGCTACTGGAGACCACAGTAAGTATGATGAGGTTTAAGGGCTGCCGCCCTCCACTAGCCAAGGACGCTGGCCACAAAGACCACTGATAACGTCAATAAAGCCAATGGCATGTATGTATCAATTATAGGCTGACCTCAAACTCGTGACCCTCCAGCCTCGGCCTTCCAAGTACTAGGACTACAGCCATGGACCACCAAGCCCAACTTTTCTTTTAAAACTTGAAGGCACTGGTGTTCTGACAATTTGAAGACAATAATGAGCCCACACCGGGGCAGCCTGATGCCAGCTCATCGACCGATCCTATCTCCCTTGCGGCACACTCAGAGTGGCCAATAGCACGACTTCTTCGACAAATGCAAAACACAAGTCCTTGCCCCAATGAGCTCACATTGTCGCTAACCCTGTCGTGGAACATGTGCTCCCCAAGGAGAGAGAAAAAATCACTTAGAGAAGTAACAACTGCTAGAAGCTGAAAGAAAAAAATTCACCAGGTAAAATTAGACAGTATCTTGTCAAGAACTCACTATTGTTTTAACTCCCGGGAGGGCCCCCAGACCCCTTGGACTGCAGCCCTGTGTAGGAGCTGGCCTCGGGCTGACTCACCAGAGGACTTTTGGAGGTCTCTTTGTCTTTCTTGTTTTTCTTTTCCTTTTTCTTTTTCTTGTCTTTCTTCTTAACGGCCCCGGGAGCCAACCACTTCTCTCGCTCCTGGATCACCAACTTCCGATAGTGCTCATCACATGGATGGTCCCAAATGGACTGCCCAGTGTCAAAGTTGAAATAGTAAAGGTCACCTGTGATGTTCTGGCTAGGAGTGAGCAGAGTTCAGAAATTAGTCCCTTCTAAGGTCTGGCAAAAACATAATTCTTTAAAAAAGGATATTGAAATATATAAAAGAACTTATAGCAATAGATCATTATTTCTTAAAGTGTGCTCAACATCAAGTTGGACACTGAGAGATAAACAAATAAGGAATTGAAAAATAAACCTAGGCAATTACCCAGAACACAACATGGGAGATAGTCGGTATTTTTAAATATGAGAAATAAGTTAGACATGGAAAATAAAATATGGACATTCAATGCTGCAATACCAACTAACTTTCTTCTTTTTTCCTTTCTTTCTTCAATTTATTTTATTTTTTAAACAAGCAACAAACTTCTGAAAGATTACTTAAGAAAGAGATACCTAAAATAAACTGATTGATTTTTTTAATTTTTTTTATTTATTTTTTGGTTTTTTAAGGCAGGGTTTCTCTGTGTAGTTTTAGTGCCTGTCCTGGATCTCGCTCTGTAGACCAGGCTGGCCTTGAACTCACAGAGATCCACCTGGCTCTGCCTCCCGAGGGCTAGGATTAAAGGTGTGGGCCACCACCGCCCGGCCGATTTTATTATTTAAATGAGGTTGGATAGACGGTCAGCAAGAGCACTGGCTGCTCTTCCAGAGGACCAGGTTTGATTTTTCACACCCCATTCTGACCTCTATGTGAATAAATAAATAAACAAACAAACAAACTACCAAAACTCATTCACAAAGAATTGACCAGGGCTGGGGATATAGCTCAGTTGGTAGAATGCTTGCCTAGAATGCAGGAAGCCTGGGGTTCAAACCCCTACACCACTTAACCATCAACATAATGTAAAGTCTTTAAACTGGGGCTGGAGAAGTGGCTCAGTGGTTAAAAGCACTTGCCACCCTTGCAGAAGACCAGGGTTCAATTCCCAGCACCCACATGGCAGCTCACAACTGCTTGTAACTCCAATTCCAGACTCCTGACACCCTCTTCTGATCTTCTCAGGCACCTGCATTCATGCGGTACATACAGACAAGCAGGAACACACATATGCATGTAAATAATTTTTTAATCATGTTTCTATACACAGTATTCCACACACAGAATTTGAATCGGTTCTTTCTTCCCTGAGACAGTGGAGGTGGCCCACCCCTCTAGTCTCAGCACTCAGGATATGGAACTTGGAGGACCTAAAGTTCAAGGTTATCATCTCTTTCAGTTTACTAAGTCAGTCCTGGGCCACCTGGGGAGACTGTCTCAAAGGACAAAGCGAAGCAAAGAACTGGCCTGCATGGGTGAAAAAGGGCCTCATTACAGAGTCCCAGGCCGACTGGAACTACTATGTAGACCAGCCTGGGCTGGCCTCGAACTTACAGCAGCAATCCTCCTGCCTTTGCTTTTATCCACACACAGCTTTCTCTTTTTAGAACTGGATTTGAAGTTAAAACTTTTCCCACAAAGAAAATTCTAGGCCCAGAGGACTGCAGTGGTAAATTCTATCAAATATTTAAAGCCGAAATAGCAGCAATCCTACACAAACTTGTTCATAAACCTGAAGAGGGAGAAATTCTCATTCTATGAGGACAACAGTACTATGGCACAAAACAAGAGAAAGACGTTAGGAGAAAATGATGCTATGGACCAGTTTCCCCCGTGGACACAGATGCAATAACACTTAATGCAATTTCAGAAGATCAAATCCCAGAAAATGTAAAAAGGATCATACATCATGACCAAGTGGAGCTACCCCGGGAATAAGAAATTTGGTTTAACGTTTGAAAACTGGGGTCAGAGAAATGGCTCAGCTGGTGAAGGCGCCAGTGGCCAAGCCAGAGGACCTGAGGAGCTCCCTTCCAGGATCCCACATGGTGGAGGGAAAGGACCAACTCCCACAAGCTGTCCTCTGACATCCATACTTACAAGGGCTGTGGTATGCCCACACCGCCACACACACATAGATGGATGGATGGATGGATGGATGGATGGATGGATGGATGGATGGATGCAATTAAAAATTGATAAAAAATGTTTGAAAATCAATCAATAAATTTGACTATAAGAAAAGACTAAAAGGAAAAACACCTAATCTTATCAACAGATGTAGAAAAGCACTAGGTACAACCCATCCATCTTTTCTTCAAAGTCCCAGCAACAGCACAAACTCTGCTGACAAAGGTCATGTACAGGAAACCCACAGCCAGCAGCTACCTAATGACGAAAGACCACAAGCTTTCACCCTAAGATCAGGAACAAAGCAAAGACGTCCTCCATCATCGCCTCTACTTAACGATGCTGAAGGCTCTGGTCACTAAGGTACAAAATAGAAAGAAAAGGCAACCGGATTAGAAAGGAGGAGGTAAAAATACCTTTATTCCTAGGAGACACAATCACTTCTGTAGAAAATCCTATGGAATCTTAAAAAAATTATTAAATAAAGCTACTAGGCCTGACATAATTGATTTTAGCAAGGTTGTACAATGCAAGATCAATATACAGAAACCAATTTTACTTCTCTATAAAAGCAACAAACAATTGGAAACTAAAAATACAGCACTTACAGAAGCATCAAATATGAACTACTTAGGGATAAATTTGATAAAGAGAGGCAACACATGTACACAAAAGCTATTAAACATTTCTTAGAGCTATTAAAGGCAACCTAAAAAAAACAGAAACAGACTGTGTTCATGGGCTGGAAGATTCAATATCATTTATGATGCCTATTCTCCCCAAATTGATTTATGTGCAGTCCCAATCCAAACAGTAAAGTGACAAGCTAATGTTTAAATTCACATGGAAATGCAAAGAACTTAGAATGAGACTTTGAAAATGGGAACAAGGGGCTGGAGAGGCAGCATTAAGAGCACAGGTGCTCTTTCAGAGGACCCAGGTTCAATTCCCAGCATCTACATGGTGACTCACATCCACCTGTAACTCTGGTTACAAGGAACCAACTCCCTCTTCTGGCTTCTCAGGAACCAAGTATGCATGTGATACACAGACAGACATGCATGCAAAATGCCCACAAACATTAAAATAATTGATAATAATACTAAAAAGAAGATGGGAACAAGGTTGGAATACCTATCCTGAAAGATTTCAAGACTTATTATAAAGCCATGTGCTCAGGAGAGAAGAAAACAAAGCATATGAGTACATCAATGGCAGACAGGAGGGAATACAGAAACTGATTTTTTTTTTCAATGTCTATATGGGTGTTTTGTCTGCATATACGTCTGTGTATCCCATTTGTGACCGGTGCCCTTGGAGACCAGAGGGAACATGTAACTAGAGTTCAAGACTGTTGTGAGTCACCATGTGGGTGTTGAGAATTAAACCTGGGTCCTCAGAAAGAGCAGCCAGTATTCTTAACCACCTCAACATCTCTCTAGCCCCAGAAACAGACCCTCTTATGCATGGTTAGCCTCAAAAACTAACATCTGAAAAATGATCTTCACTATAAGAGTCAAATAATTTTTTTTTTTTTTAGAATGTGGTACACCTGAAGTGAGGGCATAGTTCAGTTATAGAGTGCTTTGGTAGCATCACAAGGCTCTGTGTTCCACACACACACACACACACACACACACACACACACACACACACACACACACACACGTGTTATGTCTAATATGGGAAAGTATACAACTGATAAAGATAAAAAGGTGAGTGGTGTGTGATTAACTAGTAAACATCAACTTGTCGCATCCTAGAATCACCCAGAAATAGAGTCTCAATTGAGGAATTCTCTATATCTGGTTGGACTATGGGCATGTCTATGGGGGACTGTCTCGTTAACTGACCCAGCCCATTGTGGGGAGCATCATTCCCCAATTTGGGGCTTTGGGTAGTATAAGAGTAGAGAGGAGCAGAGCATGGTAAGGCATGCTTTTAATCCCAGCACTCCAGAGACAGAGGCTGCGTTCAAGGCCAGTCTGGTGAACACAGCGAGTTCTAGACCAGCCAGGGTTACACGTGGAGACCCTGTCTCAAACAAATGAAGGCCGAGAAGACAGCTGGCTAGCAGGCCCCACGGGCACGCCCGTTTCTCTCTGTGCCTGACCATGGATGTGACGTGACCAGCGGTCTCCAGCTCCTGCCCCTGAACTTTTCAACATGATGGACTGTGAGCTAACGTGAAACCGCCCTCCCCTAAGTTGCTTTTGGTTAAGGTATTTTATCACAGCAACAGAAATTAAACTATTACAGGCAGGTAAACCAAGCGTGGTGGCACACGCCTATAATCCCAGCATTCAGGAGGCCGAGGAAGGGAGATGTCAAGTTCACAGCCAGCCGAGGCTACATAGTAAAACCTTGTCTTAAAAACACACCAGGTACAGTGCTGCACACCTATAATCCCAGCACATGCAAGAGGATCTCATCCTCGGCCACAACAGAAGGTGAAGGCCAACCTGAGACCCATGAGAGTTAATCTCAGAAGAAAAAAATAACAAAAAAAAAAAAAAAATGAGACATGGTGGTACATATCTGCAATCCAAGCACTTGGAGGACTGAGGCAGAAGGATCACAAAAAAGGCCATGCTAGACAACATAACAAGACTGCCTCAAAAGGAAAAAAAAATGAGATAGATCTACATATTACACTGACCCAGAACAACAGTGCACAGAATGTAATAGTTATGATTAAAACAATAAAACCACAAGTGGAGTGTGTGTGTGCTGAAAGTTCTAGAAGAAATTTCACAATTGACAGTAATTAGGCTTGGGAAAGAGAATAGGGTAAAAGATGACATGTACAAATAATTTTTAACGACTTATGTTATTTTAGAAAATGAAAAATAATTCACATTCTTGCTGTAGGACAAGAGAGTGTCAGGCACACTCGCAGGTACATGAAGGCAGCTGGTCCGAGGCCTTGCACAAAACTGCCCTAACCCAGACAGTTCCCCACCCTCCGTCAGAAAAGGCACTGGGACAACAAAGCTTCCAAACACAAGCTTGAGTTCTCAGCACCGGGAACACTGTCGGAAGCGCTAACAGATTTCCTAGAAGAAAGATGTGAACCTGGAGATGGTCCAAGGAGAGGCAGCTAAAAGATCAACAGAACAAGGAGCCTATCGAGCGAAGGGAGCTGAGAAGAGTCTGTGCCTTCGGCTGAGGAGAGTAAGGTGGGTAAGTGCAGTCATTTTCAAGTGCAGTCAACCTGTTAAACTACTTGGGTAAGAAAGGGCTGATTACCTAGCCCACCACATGCACCTTCCTAGCCAGCTGGGAGAGGATACCTAGGATGCCTCAGGACTAGTTTAGAAAAAAATGGAAACACTACCCTGGGTGACATGTAAACTAAGAGTGGCAGCTTTGGGAGGACAGCTTGGATGGGGCTCTGCACCCAGGAAGAGAGAGAAGTGAAGAGAGGGCAGAGCAGACACGCAGCACTGAACAGCGTCGCTGTGAGTGGAGATGACGCTGTCCTCAGGAGGAGGGAGCTGGCAACACCAGCCCTGGCCTTTCAGCTTCCCCTCCTGGGGCGGTTTTCTCACTATAAACCTCTGCTTCTCAGAGATAACCTGAATGAGTTCTTTCACAATCCAGACAGCTTTAAGGGAATTTAAAATGAATCCATGAACGTGAAGCCAAGCAAGAAGAGTAGATACCTAAGCCTGGTGCCGCGGTTTGAAAGGAAACGACCCCCTAGGCTCACGGGGAGTGGTGCTGTTAGGAGGTATGGCCTTGCCAGAGTAGGTGTGCTGCTGTTGGAGGAGGTGTGTCACGGGGGCAGGATTTGAGGTCTCAGATGCTCAAGCCACACCCAGTGTGGCATTCTCTCCCTACATCTACATCTGCGGATCCAGATGTAGAACTCTCAGCTCCTTCTCCAGCACATGTCTGCCTGCATGCCACCATGCTTCCCACCATGACAGTAATGGACTAAACTTCTGAAACTGTAAGTGAGCCATCTCCAATTACATGTTTTCCTTTATAAGAGTTGTCCTGGTCATGGTGTCTCCTCACAGCCATAGAAACCCTAACTAAGACACCTGGCAACCTGAGTGCAATCCCTGAAACCCATGTAAAGGTGGAAGGCAAGTACCAACTCTACCAAGTTGTACACATACACACACATTTACACATACATACATGGTTTACACAGTAATGATTTAAAGAAAAAAGAATATGCTACACAAATTCTAAGATGGCTAAGGGAGACAGAAATCTTTTGCCAAACCTATGTGGCTTTGCTATAAAACCCTTTGGTCTCGGCATCCATTTTAGACATATTGAGGAGATAAGCCATCACTTTTTCTGGGTAAGTACCAGATTCATGCACATGTACACACATGTATACACATGCATGTGGTGGACAGAAGACAAACGCAGGCATTGCTGCTTAAGAACCATCCACCTTGTTTTTGAGACAGAGTCTCTCACAGGCCCGGAGCTCACCAAGTAGGCTAGACGAGCTAGCTAGCAAGCCCCAGGAATATGCCTGTCCACACTTCCTTATGACTTGGCTTTTTGCACCTGAGTTCTGGGAACCCAACTCAGAACCTCATGCTGCAAAGCAAGTACTTTACAGACAGAGCCGTCTCCCCAAACCCCACAGCTGTCACGTTTAACATTCTATCAGTGTGTAAGGACCAACAAAGACACCTCCTCAGTACGACCAACACAGACACCGGTGTGAGAGGACCGAGCCAGGATGGCAGCTCTGTGGTCCAGAGGGAACTTCACGTCAGCTTACTCAGTCCTGAAACAAGAGGTAACCTGCAGAGAAATGGCAGCCTTGCCCCTGATCATGAAAACTAATCTCCAGGGCTTGAGGAAACGGCTCAGGTAAACTGCCTGCCATGCAAACCAAGGGCCAGGGAGCTGGAGAGACAGCTCAGTGGTTAAAATCGTGTACTGCTTTTGAGAGGACCTGATTTCGGTTCCCAGTACCCACATCAGGCCGCTCACAACCTTCTATAACTCTAGCTCCAGAAGATCCAATGCCCTCTTCTGGCTTGGTCCCTATGGGCAACTGCACTAACATGCATACGCCCACACATAAACACATAGTAAATGTCTTAGGGTTATTATTGCTGCGATGAGACACCAAGACCAAAAGCAACTTGGGGAGGAAAGGGTTTATCTGCCTTACATATCCCAAGTCACAGTCTATTGAGGGAAACCAAGGCAGGAACTCAAACAGAGCAGGAACCTGGAAGCAGGAGCTGACGCAGAGGCCATAGAGGAGTGCTGCCTACTGACTTGCTTCTTAGGGTTTGCTCAGCCTGCTATAAGAGAATAGAACCCGCCGGGCGGTGGTGGCGCACGCCTTTAATCCCAGCACTCAGGAGGCAGAAGCAGGTAAATCTCTAAGTTCAAGGCCAGCCTGGTCTATAGATCGAGTTCCAGAACAGCCAAGGCTACACAGAGAAACCCTGCCTTCAAAAACCAAAAAAAAAAAAAAAAAAAGAAAAAGAAAAAAGGAAGGAAGGAAGGAAGGAAGGAAGGGAGGAAGGAAGGAAGGAAGGAAGGGAGGGAAAGAAAAGAAAATAGAACCCAGGACCACCAGTCCCAAGTGTCATTACCCACAATGGGTTGGCCCTCCCCCACCAATCACTAATTAAGAAAATGCCCTACAGGCTTGCCTGCAGCCCTATCTTATGGAGGCATTTTCTCCACTGAAGTCCCCTTCTCTCAGATGACTCTAGCTTATGTCAAGTTGATATAAAACTAGTCAGCACAATTAAAAATAAATCTAAAAAACAGAAACAAAAATAAAAAAAGGAGGAGGAGGCCTAGAGAGATGGCTCAGCAGTTAAGAGCTCTGGCTGCTGAGGACCAGGGTTTAATTCCCAGCATTCATGGTGGCTCACAACCATTTCTAACTACAATTCCAAGGAATCTGATGTCTTCTTCGGGTTTCTGCACATGGTGCATATACATATATGCAGATAAAACAGTTATCAGGCATGGCAGTACACATCTGATACACACACACCACACTAAATTTCAGGTCCCTCTGTCTCGGACAGGCCAAGTTAGTGAACCACTGTAATTACTTACCATGGTTTCCAGCCCTTGGGCAATGGAGCCTCAATACCCTCCCTTGCCAGCCACATCAGTTCTGGTTCCTTGATGGGGTCGATACCAATCACTCTGGCAAAGTCAAGGATTTCTGCAAAAAAGAGGAGGAAGGCAAAAGTGGAGGGTGGGAGGGTAAGAGAGAGGGGGAGGGATGGAAAGAAGCAAAATTGAGTCAATTCTTTTCTGGATTTTTCTTTATTCATCAATGATAAAATATGGCTTCTCTAAATATAAGTAATAAATATATAGAACTAAAGCTGGATGTGGCAGTACACACCCATAATCCAGTACTTGGGAAGTAGAGGCAGGAGGACCAAGAGTTCAAGGTCATCTTCAGCTCCACGGAGAGTTCAAGGCCAGCTGGGCTACTTGAGACCATCTCAAAAACCTTTAACACACAAACACACAGACAGAGCAGTTTCCTTACATCACAATTTATTAATGGCATCTGTATCGAGTCATGCCACCTCCAAACTCCCACACAAAATATAATACAATGCCCAAATATAATCTGAAGCCACAGCTCACAAAGGGAGAGAGTGAGGAAGCCAAGAGGGCACAGTGGGGAGGCCTCAGGAAGGAGCCAGGCCACAGCCGGAACCATCCAGGATGAGGGCAGCCTTATCAGAAGATAAGCTCTCAGAAGATTTACAAGAGCTGGGTTACAATGCACTTGGCCCTCAAGCCCCAAGTGAGTTCCACCAACTACGGAAGACTGAGCTCTTTAAGGACCTTGCAAACACAGAGAATGTTAAACAGACAGTGTGTGTGTTGTGACGGTGGCATGTACCATGTGCTAATGCAGCAGACAGAAGGCAGTGCCTGGTTCTCTGAGGGACAGGAAGGTACCCTGCTGAAAGGAGATGATACTCAGGTGGCCTCTGGCCCCTCTAGTGAACCCCTCTTCTAAAAGGCGATTGCCCCTTAGTCAGTTGTAATATATATTTTAGACTCTGCTTCTGCCCTACTCTCAGAATCAGTTAGGAGAGCCCTTTGCTGAGATCTGGAGGACAGAAGAGACTATGCACTATGCTAAGAGCAATCTCATCTTTGGGAAAAGGATAGGTGATGTGTCCATTGGAACATGTCACTAGCGGCCACTGGAATAATGAAATAAATACCCAGGCTTGAGTCGAGGCCAGGCCCGACAGATATCGCCAATACAAGTCATCTCCATGGAGAAATAGAGGGTGACGTACCTGGGGACCAGGAAATAACACTTTTTCTAAAGGGCCAGCTGGCATTTAACTGGCTTATTGATTAACTTCACCTTTTTTAGTTCTGCACAATGGAGCCAGCACAACAGACCTGCGACAAAATACCGTTTAAGCCATCTGGGGACTGCCAGAAACCAACACGATGGCAAAACTTAACCGGCAAGGTGGGAGAGCCATGTCACAGGGCCCTGAAACCTCACCAAGGATACTGAACACGTGGAAGGGCACTGACTCCATCCTAGACACAATCCATCTCTCCCTGTGAGATCACTGCTCCTAGGTGGGACACAGACCAGACAAGGCAGAAACGAAAACAGAGCGCTGAGCAGGAAGCCACAGAGGCAGAGAAGGTAGTGTGGCTCACGCTAGAGTACCAGACATGAGACCTTGGCAGAAGAGTGTTTAATTAAAAAAAAAAAAAAAATCCCTAGAAAAACCTTTACAAAAACCAGGCAATACAGCACATGCCTGTACCCTGATGCTTCAGAGGGATAGGCAACAGGATCACTGCCCGTCTCAGGCCAGCCTGACCTACATAGCAAGACCCTGTCCAAAAAATAAGAAAAATAAATCCCAGCACTCAGGACACAGAGGCAGGAGGATCTCTGTGAGTTCTAGGCCAGCCTGATCTACATAGCAGGTTCCAGGACAGCCAGGGGTGCAGAACAAGACAGAAATTTCCCCAAAATGCTCAGGACCAGACATGCTACAGATTTCAATTCCTTTCCAGTTCTAGTGCATTTTCATAGACTTTACAGGCTAGGCATCCCTCATCAGAAATGTCTCATCCAAAAGGCAGATTTTGGAGTATTTTGCAATTTGGAAGAGGTGAGGGATACACATCTTGAGTTCCAGAAACAATGAAGCATTGTGTGATGGTCTACATCTGTAATCCCAGCACTTAGGAGATGGAAGCACAGGATTAGGAGTTCAAGACCAACCTGGGCTACATAGTGAGGGTGAGGCCAGCCAGGCTTAAGAGGAAGGAAGGAAGGAAGGAAGGAAGGAAGGAAGGAAGGAAGGAAGGAAGGAAGGAAAAGATGCATATAGTCATATATACACAGCTTAAGCTACAGATTGAGACTCTGCCTCAAAAAAAAAAAAAGAAAAAAGAAAAGAAAAAGAAAAAGAAAAAAGAAAACGTGAAGTCAGGCAGCAAGACAGCTCGGCAGGTAAGACATCTGCAGCCAAGCCTAACGCCCAGAGTTCAATCCGGGAGCCTACATGGTGGGAGGAAAGAACTGACTCCTTCAAGTTGTCCTCTGACCTCCACACGAATGCTGTATGTAGCATACACACATACGATAAATAAATGTAAAAACAAAGAATATTTGAAGTCATTCAAGAATAGCACAAAAAAGACACGTGGACAGGAATATGACATTTACACTTCACAAAGATGACAGTCCCCTCTGAATCAATCCAGTATTCATCACCACACCCCAAGTGCCAACAGCCCTCCCATACACTGCCCTACCCAGAACTAACAAGATAATTCGAGTCACGGGGCGATAACACGAACAAAATGGCCAAGAAAACTGGAAACACTGCAGCCAGAGTGTTTTAGCCCTACTCGGTATTAGAATCCGACAGAGCCTCAATAATGCAGTGACACCGACATGACATGTGGCCAGACGGTCCAACGGAAGGGGAGGCAGACCCAAATGCGCACAGCAGCAGCCAGGCCAGCAGGGAGATGAGCTGTCCCCTTAACGGCGTAGGAACTAAACTGCACTTGAGAACACGGTAGAAACAGTTCTCCTTCCGGTGGAGAAGGCTTTTCTAACCTTGATACGTACATAGCTCAGGGCCATTCACCATCAGACTGATAGACAACATAAAAATTACATATTCTTAGCCGGGGAGATGGCTCAGTAGTTTTTACATTCATTTAACATATGTGTGTATGCTACATACAGCATGCGTGTGGAGGTCAGAGGACAACTTGAAGGAGTCAGTTCTTTCCTCCCACCATGTAGGCTCCTGGATTGAACTCTTCCAGAACACCCAGGTTCAATTCCCAGCACCCACATGGTGGATCACGACTGTCTGTAACTCCAGTTTGAGGGGATCCAGCACCCTCTTCTGGCCTCTGTGGGCACCAAACACACACACACACACACACACACATACACATGGTATAGAGACATATATGTAGATAAAACATACACATAAAAATAAACAAATCTACAAAGAATTGTTTTTTGAATTTAAAGTCTGGGGCTGAGAATACAGCTCTATGGTAGAGTGCATCCTTCGTGTCTGGGTTCGATCTCTTGCTGGATGGTGATGCGTATCTGTAATCCCAGCACTTGGGAGTCTAAATTAGGAGGACCGCTATAAATTGGATCTCCAAAAAAGGAAGTGGAGGGGGTGCAGCAAGACAGTTCAGCAGGTAAAGGTGCTTGCCACCAATCCTGAAGACCTGAGTCTAACTCCTGTAACCCACGTGGTGGAAGGAGAGAATCGCTCTCACAAACTGTCCTCTGACCACCATATATTTACTATGATGAGCACGCCATGTCACCCTCCAGAACGCAAATGCTTAAAAAATAAAGACTATATTCAGTTTTACAACTTCTACTTGGCAATCAGCAAACACACTAGGCTAGAAGCAAATCACAAGATAAATGGGATCCAAGACTCGCAGGGGGCACATGTTCTTACCCCTGTCTACCGGGCCCATGAACCACCTGGGCTGGAGGGATAACTTGTGTCTAGGTCCGCAGCTCTTCAGGGTGTCAAAGCAAATTTCAATCCATGAACAGCAAAGCTCTTCAGGGGCTGCAGTGGCCCAGCTCCACTCAGCACAGTGCAGAGCTACAGGAACCTCTCTCACAGGTGGGGACAAGGACAGGACCTGACTCACAGAGTTACTGTGGGGTTGCTTTTCGGTTTCCGTTATTATTGCTTGAAAGAGGGTCTCGCTGTGTAGCCCTGTCTGGCCTGGAACTCACTTTGTAGACCAGGCTGGCCCGGAACTCAGAGATCCTGCCCCTATCTCCCAAGTGCTGGGATTAAAGGTAAACGCATGCACGACTATACTCAGCTTGCTGTGGGGTTTGAAAGGGAAATAAATACAATGTTTTAAAAACAAGGCTAGAACAAAGTAACTAAATAAATAATGCTTTTTTCTTTTTGTTGTTTTTGTTTTAAGAAAGGACCTTAAACTAGTGACATGACAGTGAACTGCAGTTCCTCCCTTGTTGTCCTGCACGCACGCACGCGCGCACGCACGCACGCGCGCGCGCACACACACACGCACGCACGCACGCACGCACGCACGCACGCACGCACGCACTTACTTTCCTGAGAGCTGTACCTCCACGCCTCGATTTATGAGACACTAGAACTGACCCCAGGGCTTCATGCACGCTAGGCAAGCACTCCACCAACTGAGCCACAACCTTGTTATTTTTGTTGTTTTTAAGACTATGTAGCTCAGGCTAGCCTCAAACTCATTCTGTAGTCCTGGCCTTTAACTTGTAGCAATCCTCCTGCCTCAGTCCCTTAAATGCTGGGATTACAGGGAATGCTGAAAGACCCCCGTTTGGAGTCTTCCCTCTGGAGAGACCCTCGCCCAGAGATCACACCGAGACCACAAGTCAGATGCAAACAGCAAGAGGCTTTATTCAAGAACACGGGTACCCGGGGCGATACAGTCCCTCCAGAGGCTGAAGAGACTGGCGCCGACGGGCTGGAGTGGAGGGTTTTTATAGGGTTGGGCAGCGGAAGGGCGGGTACAGAAGCAGGAAGCATAGTTTACAGGGTTCTGATTGGACGATTCGTATGAGGCCAGGTTCAAACTCAGGACAGCTCGTGGTTTTTCCCCCGAGCTCGACACGCCTGCTGACTTGGCTCTTATCCAGGGTACAAGTTGTTTTTCTGACCTTTAGTACCCTGTTCTGGGGCCAGGTGGCCGACCGCAGATACCCTGTTTGTTCCTGTGCCTATGAACTTTCCCCGTACTTTTCAGGCCTTGCTCAAAAATGGCGTCAGGCCAAGCAAGCATGCTGGGGCCCCTCAGCACCACCCCAGAAGAGTCCCGGGGTCCTGGCCTGCACCTCCCTGCAGGGCTCCCCAGTCCTCAGGCCGCGCCACCCCCACAGGGTCCCCGAGTCCCCAAGCTGCGCCACCCCGGGGGTACCCGGGTCCCAGTTTGCACCGCCCGGAGGGTCCCCGGCCCTTGGCCTGCTCCACCACGCAGGGTCCCCGGCTCTCGGCCTGCTCCATCCCGCAGGGTCCCGGCTCTCGGCCTGCTCCATCCCGCAGGGCCCCTGGCGCCCGGGTCGCGGCCCGCACCACCCTCGCCGGCCGGGCAGCGGCGCCAATCGGGCTCGAGGACACGGCGGGCCCGGGCTGGGAGCCTGCGGTCTCTGCCCGCCGCGCTACGACGCGGGGCCCGGGCGCGCGGGCCGCTGCGGGGCGCGCATGGCGGGCGCGGGCGGCTGGCGCGGGGACGGAGATGCGGCCCGGCCTGCGCTGCCCGCGGCTCCGCTCCTGGCGGCCTTTCAATGCCAACATGCCAGCCTTAGCTTGTTCTAAAGAAGTTGGGTTCACACGTCATACTTCACAATATCCCCTATGCTACTATCTCATTTAAAACCAATCTGATCTCCAAGGTCAGGAAACGTTTCCTATAAAGGGCCAGAGAGTAAACACTGCAAGCTTTGTAGGTTATAAATCTGTCACAATTATTTGACACCACCATTATAGCATGAAGACAATCACAGAGGATGTAGAAATAAGCACGGCTGTCTTCCAATAAAATTTTATTGACAAAAAGCAGGCAAGGTGCCAACTTGGGCCCAAAGGCTATCGTTTGCCAACCTCTGATCTAACCCAAATATACTGAGCAGCCCTGTGCATGAACCAACATTGTACTGGAAAAACAAAAGCAAATCAGGGGGTTGGGCTTAGTGGTTAGAGCACTGGCTGCTCTTCCAGAGGACCCAGGTTCAATTCCCAGCACCCACATGGTGGCTCACAGCCATCTGTAACTCCAGTTGCAGGGGCTCTGATGCCCTCTTCTGGCCTCTGCAGGCACTGCATACGGTAGTATATATATATATATATATATGGTAGGCAAAACACCCATACATGTAAGTGAATGTTTTAAAAATCAAATATAATGTCTGCCCTCAAAGGACGGTTACAGTCCACCACAAGCCTCTTACCTTGCTCACTGGGGATGTAGGTCTCATCAGAATCTTCCTCCAGAACCAGTTGGTCACCTAAGAGGATGGGTCGTCTAGCCATGATTCAGCCTGGCGTATCTCAATCCCAGAGACCCTATCCAAAGAGAAAATCAGTGAGCTGGTCTGGGAGGGAAAAGGAGAGTTGGGTCATAGAGCATCTGGGTCACACCAGATGCTGCAAACCAGCATGACTGAGGATCCTGCCTGCAGTTCAGAGCTGAACAGACTCTGTGCCTGGGTGATTTCCCTGGCTTGTCCCTGCCCAAGGTTAGAGAACACACAATGCACCACAAGAGACTGGCTTTCTAATGTGTTTAACTTGAGGACAGGAGAGATACCTCCGTGGTAAAAAGTACTGATTACTCTTCCAAAAGACCTGGGTTCAATTCCCAGCACCCACGTGGTGGCTCACAACCTTCTGTAACTCCTGTGCCAGGGGATCTGACACCATCTTCTGGCCTCTGCGTGTCCATAAATGCAGTCAAACATTCATGTACATAAAACAAAAATAAACAAGCCCTTAAAGAGTTTAACTTTGTATCCCTCCCAAACAGGAGAATACCCCAAACTGTAGTAACCTGAGCCAGAAAACCCCAGTGACACCAAAAATACAGGCCCTCGGGTGTCAGCACAGCCCAGGGCACAGAGAGGCCATTAGAGTCAATGGTGCCCCAGGGCAAGCAATTCAGGGCCAGGAGCCAATGCGACTTTAGCACCCGCTCTGAGAGCACTAAGACAAGAGGACAGTTCCCACTGAAGGATGAGGAAAGCACCCTAGACAGGGAGCAAAAAGGGTGACGCCTGCAGATGTCCTAGAGCACAGACTCACAGCATGCTTGGCAGGAGCTAGACATGGAAGCCTCATGCTTTGCAGTAAGGGGATGTCACTGAGGGCTTTGGGAAGAGAAAAATGACACAGGGTGGCCTTTTATTTAGGACAGGAACTCTGGTAAGACTGGCGTGGCTGAGTTGGAGAAATAAGAAACTGGTGTCCAGAAAGGCGGTTGAGAAGACTTCCCTCATAGTGATAGTTAGCGAGGGCATAAAGGAGGACGGAAGCAGCAGAAGTGAAAAGGGTCAAAGACATGGCTATTAGGCTTAATGGGAGCACAGAGGAGGAAGGGAGGAGAGGAGTCCTGATGGACTGGGCTGTGTCCTTCCAAAGCACTTATGATCTGACTTTATAAGAAGCAGGGTCACCGGGTGGTGGTGGCACACACCTTTAATCCCAGCACTTAGGAGGCAGAGCCACGCAGATCTCTGTAAGTTCGAGGCCAGCCTGATCTACAGAGCGAGATTCAGGACAGGCACCAAAACAACAGAGAAACCCTGTCTTGGAAAAACAAGAAAAAAAAGAAAAAGAAGCAGGGTCTTTAAGACATAATCAACATTAAGTGAGGTCATTAGGGTGGGGTCCTGACTTAACAGGATTAGTGTCCTTCAAAGCAAAGGAAGAGAACTGTTTTCACTCCATCAAATGAAGACAAAGCAGGATGGTAGGTAGCCACGTGCAAGGCAGGAATTAGGGAGGATCTTGATCTGTGACTTCCAGAACCATGAGAAAATGGATCCCTGTGGTATAAGCCACCACCTATCAGTCCAAGCTGACTATGACAGGAATCTACTTTGACGCCAGTTTCCAGTCTAGGAATGCAGTGGGGCCAAGTTCTTAGCTGACAAACGAGTGTTGTTCTCTATGTGTACTGTATGTTTTTTTTTTTTTTAAAAGATTTATTTATTATGTATACAGTGTTCTGCCTACATGCCAGAAGAGGGCACCAGATCTCACTACAGATGGCTGTGAGCCACCACGTGGTTGCTGGGAATTGAATTCAGGACCTCTGGCAGAGTAGTCTGTAGGGGTGGTTGTCTGGGCTTTACCCCTGAAGCACCGCCCCTAGTAGGCAGCAGGTAAGATTATTGTATTTACTAGTAAATTAATTTAGTAAAATATCAGCCTTAGATAAATTGCATTGTTATGGATTCTTGTATATTGATACAAATGTAAACTATTTTTTTTTTTTTTTTGTTTTTTGTTTTTTGTTTTTTTCGAGACAAGGTTTCTCTGTGTAGCTTTGCGCCTTTCCTGGAACTCACTTGGTAGCCCAGGTTGGCCTCGAACTCACAGAGATCCGCCTGGCTCTGCCTCCCGAGTGCTGGGATTAAAGGCGTGCGCCACCACCGCCCGGCGTAAACTATTTTTATATTCCTATTTAAGATCATTTGTATACTGATACAAATACAGAACTATATTTGTTGTACTTACATATATTTCTACTCTTATTTGAAATGTTTATATATTGATACAAATGTAAAATTATATTTGTCATACTGTATGTGTGTTCTACCTCTGTTTAGGATATTTTGTATATTCATACATATTTAGGATTATTGTCATATTGCATATTGCACTATACATTCCTACCTCTGCTTAAGCTATTTTGTGCATTGTCACAATTTTGAGGTCATTGTATTTTTACTGTACATTTGCTTACAGACTGTTTACCTTGTTTACGTAAAGCCTTAGTCCTTAGGTTATTTAGGTAGATAAGACTTATAGATTTATAGTCACCTATGCTTGCCATCTCTATAATTATGGTAGTTAGGTTGTCCAGATTTATGGATATATAGGTGAGATGGACAGGTAATCTTCAAACACTTTATAGACGTAGAAAATACAGCATTTAAATAACTTAAAATTCTATTGACATGAGACATGATTGCTCCCGGCAGCACCGATGTGATCCCGAGAGAATGTTGGGCTTCTAAGACATTGCTGTTTGGAAGTTTGTCTTCTTCTTGGCATAAAATGGCCTACTGGGCAAAGAACTGCCCTTGCCTCGACTGCTGACAGTACAAATGTCCTTTCTGGATGAGCGGGACACAAGGATCAAGGCAGAGTTCTCCAGAGAACCGTGTTGGACCGTGCCTCACCCTTCCTGGATCCTGCAACCAACTCCCTTGTGCTTGTTGTGAGTTAACCCAAATAAACCCCTTTGATTATCAGATAAACTCGGTGGAACTGCCTCATTCGTAGTCAGTGTCTTAACCACTGAGCCATCTCTCCAGCCTCTGTCTGTTACTAGATTTGCTTGTTTGCAGTGCTGGAGATCCTCATACAATGCTGGGACTGGTCCTCTCCGCCGGCCCCTAGTCTCACCTCTCTCTCTGGACCCCAGAGTTCTAGTAACCTTCCCCACAAAAGCTCCCATGCTGAAAACTATTGAAGCAGAAACAAACAGCCTGTCCCAGCCCTCCCCACCTGCGTCAGCCACCCCAGGTGTGACCAGCACAGCAGGTCCTGCTCTCCTGCCCACATCTTCAGAAACTTGACTATTCCACCTGGGACAACGAGCATGCAATGCCCCTCTTCCAGCAAAAAGACATTGTTCCTCTTCTCCCCACTGCCCATCACAAAGGTCAAGACTGGCCAGGCCTGGGATGGAATGTTCAGTAATGGCTGAACCTGGTAACTGAATCTATCCAAGATCCTTAGAGATGGACCCCTGACAAACAACACAGAACCCATCAGGACCTGTGACTGTGGCCTTCTGTGATCATGACACTGATCCCTCCTTCAGTCCACTAGACCCCCAAGAAAACCAGCCTCTGCCCTGTTTGTTCCCACCACACCCCCCCCCTCTAAGCAAGGAAAACATTTGGGGGGGCGGGTGTTTCCCTGCAATACTTAAGCTGACAGAAAATCCCTCAGAAGCCTGACCACCCTCCAGACACTATGCCTCTACACTGAGTCAGAGGCGGGCAGGACCAGACCACCACTCAGGCTGAAAATGAGAACAGAGATGGGCAGAAAGCAGGGCACAGATGGGGTCACCAGAGTCGTTAATCCTCTTAATTAGAAAGAAGAAGGGAAGAGAAAAGGAAGGAGCCGCAGACTGAGAGGACTCAGCAGTGACCCAAACACCAGGTGAACAACCGCTGATCAGACACAGAGCCACACAAGCGCTGTAGTGACCTTCTCACACAACCTGAGAAACTCTGCATCTGAGGGGTGTGGCTTACCCCTACATCCCATCTGCAGAAATCAACAGCCAGAAACAACTGATGTCCTCAGAGCAAAAGAGTTGTTTAGTCTGTCAACTTGACACAAACTAGAGCCATCTGGGAAGAAGGAACCTCAGTTGAGGAACTGCCTCCATCGGACTGGCCTGGGGGCCTGTCTGTAGGGATGATCTTGATTGGTGACTGATGTGGGGGGGCCCAGCCCACTGTGTTCTGTGCCAGCCCTGGACACATGGTCCTGGGTTGTATAAGAAAAGGAGCAGAAGCTGGGTGTGGTGGCGCAGGCCTCTAGTATCAGCAACAGGGAGGCATAGGCAGGTAAAGCCTGGTCTACATAGTGCGTTTCAGAACAGCCAGGGCTACGCAGAGAGGCCCTATCTCAAAAAAAAAAAAAAAAAAAAAAGAAAGAAAGAAAGAAAGAAAGAAAAGAAAAGAAAGAACGAGAAGAGGAAAAAAAAAAAACAAGAAAAAAGAACAGAAGCTGAGTGAGCCATGCAGAGTGATCCCGTACAGCAAGCATGGTTCCTCCTTGAGTTCCTCCCCTGACGTCCCTTCATGATGCTGTAAGACAAAATAAACCTTCTTCTCCCCAAGGTGCTTTGGTCATGGTGTTTTTCACAGCAACAGATGGCAAACCAGGACACCTGACTATTAACAAAATTATCTATAGTTAATTACCTACAGGCCAAAAAGAAACTGAAAAAAAAAAATCTGAATTCATGGATTTTTTTTCCAAATTTCAGGCAAATCTTCTGCCAGGAATATGTTTGGGCTATATTAGACCTTTCCTGGCTTCAGAGAAATGTAGCAAGGAGAGGCTGAGCAAGAGGGCACAGGGAAACAAGGCAGGAGAAGTGTGCAGACAGAACTCATACTTCACTGTTAGCTCTCAGAGGTCACTCATGAGATGGAAAAGTCATCTGTAGAGCGCTTATCAAGTTTCCCTTAGACATGCGATGCAAACCAATTCAGTCATCACTCCCCCAGCAACTACCACTTAGCCAGACAGCCTCAGATAAGAGCCTCAGCCCTGAACTTGCATGGAGATGTAAGCACACCCATCATCTCAGCACAAGGAGGTGCCAACAGAATCCCAAGTTCAAGGTCATCCTCAATTATGAGAGTTCAATCAAGGGCGGCCAAAGCTATTTAAGGCCCTATCTCAAAAAGAAAAAGAAAGAAGGAAAGGAAAGGAGGGAGGGAGGGGAGAGACAGAGAGAGAAGAGAAGAGAAGAAAAGAAAAGAAAAAGAAAAAAGATGGGGGAGGAGGCCAGCAAGATGATTCACTGGATACTTGTCACCAAGCCTAACAACCTGTGTTCAATCCCCAAGACCCACATGGTGGAAGGAGAAAGCACTTCAAGTTGTCCTCTCGCTCACACTCTCTCTTACACACACACACACACACACACACACACACACACACACACACACACACACACACAGAAAACATTTCACATGGAGTAAGATATGAGCCTGAGTCTGAGTCTATGCTGAGACCTGGAGGATGAACAGGTTAATTACTGACAGGGAAGGAAACAAGTTCTAACAATAGAAGAGGCACCAGCATGCGTGGCTTGGTGGGAAGCGGGGGAGACTAGGGCTATAGAGTGCTTGCCTAGAATATGTGAAGCCCTGAGTTCAATCCCTGGTACCACAAAACAACAAATGGGGGGGGGGGGCAGCACACGTGCTTGGAAGGGTCAGGAGTAATTATGACAACAAAAGCTTAGACTCACTGCATATTTCAATGTTGTACTGAGGGCTTTATGTCCATCATCTCACCCTCTCAGCTAGATAAGGGTTACTATCCCCACTTTTCAAATAAAGAGACTGCTAGGATGGAAGGCAAGGAGCGGCTAATACGGGCTTGAGAGGGCTGAAGCTGTATGCAGGACTTCCTAAGGGGCTGTCAGAGGGATTTCAGCAAGGAGCCAAAGTGATGAGATTTACAGGTGAGAAAGGTGACTGGCAGCTGCCAAGGAACTAATCAGAGAGGGAGAAGAACAGAGGCAGTTATTCTCAAAGCACAACCGAGAGATTACGAAGCAAGTCAGTGGCTACCTGAATGAAAAGGGACCAATCTAGCGGGTAGGAGAAAGCAGAACGACAGGTCTTGCGGTCTAGGTGAAGGGAGAGAAGAGAGAAAGCAGAGACGATTTCAGCCAGTACGTTGTGATTTTAGGCCTTAGCCACGAAGCAACCCCACAGCGGACTGCCTAGAATCCGAGCCACGCCAAAACATGCGTCTGCAGGCACTAGAACGAATTCCCAGCGTAGACTGAGCTAAACGACGGGGGAAGTTCTCCACTGAGACAAGAAACACGCAAGAGATTGATCTGGAGTCCAGAGAAAGCTGGAGACGATCCATAAGCAGTTCTAAGCTCGAGACGGAGGTATCAGGCCAGGCAGCAAGTACTTCGCTGAGCAGCCGGTAACTGAAGCTCTGGGCGCAATCCCCAGAGCTGAAGTCCGATAAGAAGCAAGCAGGGGCCTGCAGAGGGCTGATCTGGCAGATGCGCGAGAGAGGCCAAAGAAGAGGGCAGCGGTTCCGGGAGGAGATTCCCGAATCAGTGCAAAGAAAACCCAAAACCTCCCCTCTTGCCCAGCTGGCCAAAAGATGCCAAGAGCTTGTTTGAGCTTGGGACAGCCCAGGAGTGGGCTACGAGAGGAGGAGCGGGGTGGAGTGGCGGGGGCGGGAGGTGGGGGGAGGGTTGATTCAGGAGAGGTTAGAAAGCTAGGCCGCTCACGCCGAGGGCTCTCCTCTCCCACCTCAGTTCCCGCGCAGCAACTCCTCGCAGTGCCTCAGCTCCCTGCAAACTCCTTACCCGCCACGCCCACCAAACCGGGCTACCGAGGAGGTCTCACCTGTCCCCAACCCGGAGTTCTGGGACGATGGCTCTGTGCCGCCTCCCCAGCACCACCCCGGCCCCCCACTTCCAGGGACGCCGGGGTGTCCGGCTCCCCGCTTCCAGGGACGCCGGGATGTTGCCCCTGCAGCGACCAGCAACCACTTCCGGAAAGGCACCAGCCTAGCAACTGAGAGTCCCGCCTCTACCAGGAGCCAATAGGTCGCTGGCTAAGAGCCGTGGCATTGGATTGGTTGAAGGTCCCGTCAGATCACGCAGGCTTTGCCCGTGGCTTCATGGAAGTTGTAGTTTAAGATCGTGGATCTCCACCACCATCACCAAGAGGTTGAAACAGAGACCTGAATGTAGATAGAATTTCTTCCACGGTAGGAAGGGAGCATTCATAATATTAATAGCAATGTGAATTATCCATCACTTAAAGACTATCATTCTATAAAGTGTGAGTAAAATCAGGTGAACAACAGCGATTACCAATAGTCAACCCACTGACTGGGCCTTTAATAAAAGAATTATGAAGGAACTGGAGCGATGGCTTGGTTGTTAAGAGAACTGGCTACTTTTTCCTTCTAATATGTGTGGGTGGGTCAGGCCTGGTGGCACAAGCGTTTAGGCCTAGAACTCGTGATACAGAGGCAGGCAGATCTCTGTGAGTTTTAGGACAGCCTGGTCTGCATAGTGAGTTCCAAGTCAGCTGCGGCTACACAGTGAAATCCTGTCTCAAAAAAAAAAAAAAAAAAAAAAAAAAAGTGTGGGTGTTTTGTCTACATTTGTCTGTACACCTGATGCATGCCCGGTGCTCGTGGAGGCCAGAAGAGGGCCCAGTTGTGCGCCACCTTGTGGGTGCTAGGAACTAAATCTTGGTCCTCTGCAAGAACAGCAAGCGCTCTCAAGTGCTGAGCCGTCCGACTTGCAGTCCCATGCCACTAGAGTCTAATTTTACAAGGAGAAACTTAAGAGTGTTGTTACTGTGAATCTCAAACCGGACAACAGGATGTATTTCTCCTGTTTCTGCCGCCTTCTGACCTACGGCTTCCAGTATTCTCACCACGGATGGAAAAAAAAAAATCACTGGTCCTCCTCCTCATCACAATCTTTAAAAAACGTCCCTGAGGGGCCAACAGACCAGACTTGGAAGGGATGCCAAGGCTCGCCAGACCACCACCCACAGACGTAATAAACACTGCCCATAGCTTCCGATACTCAAAAACTCGGGGTGTAGGGCTGGAGAGACAGCTCAGCGGTTACCAACGCTGCTCTTCCAGAGGACCAGCGCTTGATTCCACTCACATGGCAGCTCACACCCGGCTGTAACTCCAGTTCTAGACGATCAAACACCCTCTTCTGGCCTCCACTGGCACCAGGCACACTCGAGGTGCACAGACATACCTGCAGGCAAAACACTCGAACACATGAAATAATAAAATGTATTTATTTTTTAAAGAAGAAGAAGAAGAAGAAGCCCAGCATGGTGGCACATGCTTAATCCCAGCACTCAGGAAGGAGGATCTCTATGAGTTCCAGGCCAGCCTGGTCTACATATCCAGTTCCTGGGCTACATAGTGAGATGATGTCTCAAAAAATAAAGAAAGAGGGGCTGGAGAGATGGCTCAAAGGTTAGGAGCACTGGCTGTTCTTCCAGAGGTCTTGAGTTCAATTCCAGACAACCCCATGGTGGCTCACAACCATCTGTAGTGAGATCTGATGCCCTCTTCTGGTGTGCAGGCGCACATGCAGATAGAGCACTCGGATGGAAGGAAGGAAGGGAGGAAGGGAGAGAGAGAGAGAGAGAGAGAGAGAGAGAGAGAGAGAGAGAGAGAGAGAGAGAGAGAAAGAAAGACAGACAGAAAAGTTGGGTTGGAGAGATGGTTTAGTGGTTAAGAGCCTTTGTTGCTCTTCTAATGGACCCAAGTTCAGTTCCCAACATTCATGTCAGGTGTTTAGGGTCCTGGAGAAGTCCCATAAAAGACCATCATCCATATGCAATCAACAAGAGCGTTTATTATTCCAGCATGCTAGGACCTGCCATCCCACATAAAGGCAAGATGGTGAAGACCCTGGGGAGGGATGTGTGGGTTCCTTTTAAGTACAGCCAAGGGGAGGTCCTAGAGCAGTTAGGTTATTTTATCTACAATTGGCTTAAGCAAGTGGCAATCACATTAGTATGCTCTAATTGGCCAAGGCTGGTTAGGGGCTGATCAGAGCTATAGACTTCCATTTGGGGGCAGGCCTGTGTAAGTCCCTGGCTTTGTCCTTGAGCTGCTGTGGAGGCTGGCTGGCCTAGCACTCACGACTGTGGGGGCTGGCTCAGTGGCCCAGGATTGGTGCATCCTATCCCCCTTGTCCCTGTTGTCAGGGGGCACCAGTGATTACTTGCCCTTTGTGTGTGACTCTTCCTCAGAAACTGCCTGCTCGGTTCCATAAAGCAGGGACCGAGGCCTAGTCCTTAACTGAGTTATTAGGGCAGGCTGTCGTGATATCTGCCTGGCCCTCTCATCAGGTGGCTCTCAACCACCCATAACTCCAGCTCCAAGAGATCCCATGCCTCTGGGACAGGTAGACACTTGTGTACACACACACACACACACACACACACACACACACACACACACACACACACACACACGATTTAAAAATAAAACAAAAGAAAAGTTACATTCCAGGCCAGCCTGAGGTACACCAAAAGCCCTCTTTTTTTTTTTTTTTAAGATTTTTTTTTTTTTTATTATGTATGCAGTGTTCTGCCTGCAGGCATGTCTGCACTGCAGGCCAGAAGAGGGCGCTAGATCTCATTATAGATGGTTGTGAGCCACCATGTGGTTGCTGGGAATTGAACTCAGGATCTCTGGAAGAGCAGCCAGTGTTCTTAACCTCTGAGCCATCTCTCCAGCCCACCAAAAGCCCTCTTAACTAGTGTTCCTTAAAACATTTTTCTGCCAGGCAGTGGGTGGCACATGCTTTTAATCCCAGCACTCTGGAAGTAGAGGCAGACAGATCTCTGTGAGTTCAAGACCAATCTGATCTACAAAGTGAGTGCCAGGACAGCCAGGCTGTTACACAGAGAAACCCTGTCTCCAAAAACCAAAAAAACAAACAACAACAACAAATTTTTTTTTTTCTAGCTCATGAAAAGAGCTAGAAAATAGTCCTCAAAAAATAAGGGATGCTATGGAATTGTCATCATGCCAATGAACAATTGGTGTTCCATTCAGTTTTTGCCACAATCAGTACTCAGAAACACAAAGCATTCAAACAAATGCCCTTCGGCAAACAAATTAAGAAGGTAAGCAGGAACCTGCCACCAGGGCCACGCCAATCTGAATGGACTACCCTGCCACCTGGAGCCATGGTGTCGTCCAGGTCAGGGCTAATGCTGAGGGCCATGTCTGGCCTATGGTCCTGCTGCAGCCACGGTCTGTACTGATGTCCATGGCCCATGGTACCACCAAAGGTCACAGGAATGCCCAGGGTCTGGGCTGCAACCGATGGCCATATTGGTGTCTGAAAGCTGTGCCACCATCAAACCAAGCCAATCTGAGTGGCCTGAGTTGCTACACAGGGCCATGGTGTCGTCCTGGCTTGGGTTGCTGCTCAGGGCAGGTCTGGGTCTGTATTTCTGCTGCTGTTGGGATCTGTGTTGATGGCCATGGTCCATGTTACCACAGGGGGTAATAGGAGCCATGCAGCATTGAAATCTAAGGTCCATGTTGAGCCGGCTCCGCCCCTCACTGGCCCTGGGCTATTTGGCCCTGTGGCTTGCTGGACACTATAGCGGGAGAGCTGGCCCCCACACTCAAGAGAGATGGTCCCACCCCTCACCACAGGCATGGGAAAGCTGGCCCGGATGGCATGGGCCTAGGGGAGCTGGTTCTGCCCCTTGCCTGAGGGGGCAGTCCCAGTGGCCCCCAGCTCACCTACCACCCAGACCTGCATCCTGGGCTTTGGGTTGGCCCACCCTAACATCTACCCCATCTATGACCTGCTGGAGTACTTGAAGGAACTGGTCCTGTGGAACAATAACGCAAGATCTCCACTACTTGGAGCAACAGCAGGATATCCAAGAGGAGTTTCGGTGAGGGTCCAGTGATGATAATATGCCAGAGGCCTTGAACCAGACCAATGACTCATTGCAATGAACATTTTTTTTTTAATCATTCTGGTTAGTTTTTATTTTGATCTCAGACACTCAAGCTTAAGCCTTGCAGGGAAAAGCTTCACATAAACTTGTCTCAGGGTGGTCAGTTTTACAGTGCCAGCCTGTCCATTCTCAAGATTCAGTTGTCTTCTTCCTCTTCTTCATCCTGTTATTCCTCCACCAGTCTTTCTTCATCCTCAGTGTCTTCCTCCCTGTTCTTGTCCTGCTCTTCTGAATCTGTTCTCCTGTCTCTGTCCTTCTTTTGTTCTGGAGCTTTCTAGTGTGTTTTGCTTGTGTATGCTTCTAGAGCTTTAGTGGTGTAATGAACCACTGGAACTCACTTCTGTGGCCAACAGCACATCCCTGGCATTGAGAGTTTTGTACTTCCCCTTCATACAGAACAGAGATTTTGGAAATGGTGCTCAGAGGCCTCCTTGGAGATGTTGACACCATCCAGGAGCACCACCGAGATAATCTTTGGACTTGGGCAATTTAGGTCCTCTCCATTATTGCTTCCCCTGGGGCCTAAGCCTCTTCTGCCTGAGGCCTCCTCTTTGGATAGTCCTGACCTTACCTTTCTTTGATATTCATGCATGTTCTTTTTCACAAAGGTATCCACAAATAGCTGTGATTAATTCTTTTTTTTTTTTTTTTGATCAAGAAACAACACAATGAACATTTTTCAGACGGGACTGATTGGACAAAAGGATACATGGTGTGATATACCATAGTTCCCAATGCCACTAAGATGAAGAGATGTTGAAAAGATGGAAGAGGGAGGCAGATTTTGTTTGTTTGTTTGGTAGGTTGGTGCTTTTGTTTTTAATTAATTTTGGGCAGACTGGCATGATGTAGGGATATGGAGGGCCTGGGAGGTCAGCAGGATTGGGATGCATGATGTGCAAATTCCCGAAGAATCAATAAAGAACTGTGTTTAAAAAAAGCGGGGGGGGGGGGGGGGGGGGGGGGGGGGGGGAAGGTAAGTGGAGATTGCAAAATTGAAACATC